AAGAAAGTAAGAAAAAATTCCTAGCCAGGCATGGTGGGTGACACATGTTTTTAATCCCAGCCCCCAGGAGGTTCTCTGTGAGTTTGGGGCCAGCCTAGTCTACATAGTGAGTTTCAGGACAGCTAGGGCTATAAAGAGACCCCCTGACTCAAGAAAGAAAAAGAATTCCCAAACTGGATATAGTGGTATATGCCCATAAGGAGGCAGGAGGGTCAGATGTTTGAAGTCGTCCTTAGCTACATCTGTTTGAGAACAGCCTTAGAAAATCCATTCTCCAAATCCAAAACCATTTGATGTTAGTGTCTTTGTCCATCTGGGTCACTCTAACAGAATACCACAGACTGGGTAGCTTTTAAAGAACAAAAATTTCTCATAATTATGGAGGTGATGAGACCTAAAATGAAGGCACTGGCCAATTCAGTATCATGTAAGGGCCAGCTTCCATGATCCTGAGACTTCACAGGGTAGAAAGGAGAAAGTCCTGAGGACCTTATATAAAAGCAGGACTCCTCATAATACTATCATCCATGGTTTACTCCTCTAATCATCTGCTTCCTGCCACCACACTGGAGGTTAAGATTTCACCATGTCTTTCATCCCAGCACTTAGAATGCAGTAGCAGGCAAAATCTGTGAACTTCTGGCCAGCCAGGGCTACTACATAGTGAGACCCTGCTCAAAAATTTTTGTCAACACGGATGCTGGGACACACTCACTCTCCAGCAGTTAGGATATACAACTGTGGATGAATTTTTCCCTTTATAATTAGCCTTGTATATTGTGTAATTGTAGTGTATTATGTACATAATTAAAATTATAATTTGCATTTTATTTTTTATTTTTATCCAGTGCTTCAACATTTCTGGCCTTATGCATGCTAAGCAAATATTGTACCACTAAAGTATATCCATAGACCAAATTAATACATTTTTGAAAAGTGTGATACACTTGAAATGGTTCTCTATGAAGCAAATTAAAGCATGAGGCAGTCTTTCTCTGAAAAGGTCAGTAGCCATAGGAATTCCAGGATCTTGACAGATATAAACAAGGATCAAATAACAGCACAGTATGAAGTTAGTCTATTTATCCTGGCAGGCAATCTACCAATAATTCATATTGGTTTTGGATAATTACCTCTTATTACCTAGTCTATAAACAGTACTTTCCTTGTTTTATTCTTGCCACATCATTTAAACTTTCCCTATCATTGAACACAGAGCTTAGTTCATAACAGGTCCTTGGTAGGATTTGTAACTCTTATTTCATTAAACTTCTGCCTTTTCTAACTTAACAAATCAGTTCCCTTAATCTCTTAAATATAGAATGGTGTTGCTCCTTTACTAGTAATGTTAATTACAGTATACCTCGAGTAATAACATTTGACAGGCTTTTGTTTTTTGTTTTATTTTTCAAGACAGGGTTTCCCCATATCTTTGTAGCCTGTCCTGGAACTCACTCTGCAGACCAGACTGGCCTCAAACTCACAGAGATCTGCCTGCCTCTGCCTTCTGAATGCTGGGACTAAAAGTGTGTGTGATCACCACCTGTGGCCATTTGACAGCCTCTTAACTAATAGACACACTGACTCTTTCATAATAGTGTATAATACGTAGATAAAGAATGAATTTCAGAGCTGGGCGGTGGTGGTGTAGGCCTTTAATCCCAGCACCCGGAAGGCAGAGGCAGGCAGATCTCTGTGAGTTCAAGGCCATCCTGGTATAAAGAGCAAGTTCCAGGACAGGCTCCAAAGCTACACAGAGAAACCCTGGCTCGAAAACAAAAAACAAACAAACAAAAAATTTCTGAGAGACTAAGTGTCACAATTGGGTCTAATTGCACTACATCATTACTCAAAATATTTAAAAATACTTGGAAACACAAGCTTTCCTAAACATAAACTAGGTCATCCCAAGTCTAAAAGATACTAAAATTTTCATTTTTCTGAAGCCTTTTATTGGGCCTCATGTTGTAACACAAGGGGACAGCACAGAAGAATGCCTTCCCAACTGATTCAAAAAGCCAGGGAATAGCTTGGTTATATAACAAGAAGGAGTGTGTGGATGTGGCATGCAAATGAATTGTATTTGCACCAGTCACAGCAGTATTTCAAGTTCCACCAATCACAGGTCTCATTTTGCACCAATTATAAGCTTTCTGCTAAGCCATAGGGGAAACACCTCCCCATATAACCTAGGAGAGCCAGGTCCTCTGATATTAAATGGTGTCCTCTAGGGCTGGTGCAAGTTTTCTGGTGTAGTCATGCTGGAGAAAAGGTCTCTGTGAAGCATTGCTCAGAGTAGCAGTAAAGACTCTGAAAGAGGTGTGCCCGTTGGGCATGATTCAATATGCCTGTAACCTCAGCTACTCAGGAGGCTGGGTTGATATTGAAAATTCCTGACCAGCCTAAGTAATTTACTAAGACCTTGTCTCAGAAGAAAAGATAAAAAAGGGCTGAGGACATAGTTCAGTAGGAAATCACTTACTTAAACATGTACAGGATTCTGAGGCCACCCCCACTACTGCAAAGAAAAATAAAGAAATAAAAATGAACAGCCGGATGTCTTCAGGGTAGTCTTCTTCATTTTGATCAAAATTATTTATGCACTGGGGCAGAGGATGTAGCTCAGCGTACACAACATACACAACAACCCTGGGTTCAAGCCCCAGAAGAGATAAGCCAGGCATGGGAGCGCATGCCTATAACCCCAATACTTGAGAGGTAGAGGCAGGAGGATCTGGGTCATCCTTGACTACCTAATGACTTCAAGATCAACCTAAGCTATATGAGACCCTGTCTCAAAACCAACTATTTATACATAGCATTAAATACACATTCTGCTTAGAAATTCAGGGTCAATGTTTAATTCAATACTTGCTGACATTTGATTTGCCATGCTGTCTTAGTTGTCCAAAAGATAATATATGCTTCAGCTCTTCCTTTATTGCCTTTCAAAATTCATTCATCCATTTATTTTTTGGTTTTGGTTTTTCCAGACAGGATTTCTTTGTGTGGCCTTGACTAGAACTAGCTCTGTAGACCAGGCTGGGGACTTTGACTCCAGAGTGCTGGGATAAAAGGCATGCACTAACAACACTCAGCTTTTCTTTTTTCTTCTTCTTTTTTTTTCTTTTTAAAGATCTATTTTTGTGCTGTGTGTGTGGCAGCCAGGGGTGAGGGTGCCCACTGCGTCCAGAAGAGGGCATTGGTTCACCTGGAGCTAAAGACAACTGTGATCCAACCAGCCAAACTCAGGTCCTCTACAAGAGCAGCAAGTGCTCTTAGCCACTGAGCCATCTCTACAGTACCAGATTTTACTTTTTTTTTTTTTAAGATTTATTTATTTATTATCTATAGTGTTCTGCCTGTGTGTATACCTGCGCACCAGGAGAGGGCACCAGATCTCATTATAGATGGTCATGAGCCACCATGTGGTTGCTGGGAATTGAACTCAAGACCTCTTGAAGAGCAGTCAGTGCTCTTAACCTCTGAGCAATCTCTCCAGCCCCTTCCCTCCTTTTTTTTTTTTTTTTTTTTTTTTTTTTTTTTTTTTTTTGGTAAAGATTTATTTATTACATATACAGCTTTCTACTTGCATGTATGCCTGCAGGCCAGAAGAGGGCACCAGATCTCATTACAGATCCTTTTGAGCCACAATGCTGTGGCTAGGAATTGAACTCAGGACCTGTGGAAGAGAAGCCAGTGCTCTTAACCACCGTGCCATCTCTACAGCCCCAGATTTTACTTTTTAAAGTATTTATTTATTGTGTGGTGCTAGTGACTCTACCAAGGACCCTGCATATGCTGAGCAAGTGCACTACTCAGATATACAGGAAAAAAAAAGAGGACACAGCACCTCCCGCCCACTTTCCCTTATTTTCAGCATCCTATATTAGTATGTACATTTGTTTCAATTAATCTAACATTGGTACATTATTACCTACAGTCTTTAATGCATTTGGTTTTCATCCACCTTTTAAAACACACACACACACACAAATAAAACACAAATCTAAGGTTTAATGTAACACGAACTAATCCTAAGTACACGTTTGCTACCTTCTAACATTATAGATGTATTTCTTTCTTTTGACTTTTAAAGTTTTATTACAATTCCCAATCATCTCTTAAAGGTACCCAACATGGACTTCTGGCTTCCACTTGCGAATGCAAAGGTATACGCCCACAAATCACACACAACTGTCCCCAATATTAGCACTGGAAATACATATAAATGCCACAGGTTTTCTTGTTCAACGAATTTCCCAAAATTGGTAATATCCTACTTAGGAAACAAATTGGAACATAGACTTCTGTATGTCCGTCTATTAAAGATCTTGAAATTCTCTCTCTCTCTCTCTCGCTCGCTCGCTCTCGCTCTCTCTCTCTTCTTTTTTTTTTTTTAATCCTGAGACAGGGTCTTACGTAAACCAGGTTGTTCTTGGATTTGCAACCTCGTTTAGAGGACTTGAACTGCAGATCCTTCTGCCTCCACCCACCTATTGAAGGCTGGGATTAAGACAGTGCACTGCTACACCCGACTCTCGTCTTTTTGAGACAGGGTCTCTAAACAATCCCAGTTTGTCTGGAACTCGTGGCGATCCCTCTTGTCTCAGCACCTGCCTCGGGAAAGTACAAGGATTACAGGAGAGAACTACCAAATTCGGCTGAGAGGATCCTAGGAGGGGAGCACTTCCGGCTAGCCAGCTGGCTTTTTTTTTTTTTTTTTTGCGCATGCGTTTAGTCAACCCATCCCGGAACTTTTAACCGTTGATAAAATGAAGGTTTAAATCCTTCGAGTCGTGATCGGGAACTTCCGTGGCGCCCTCGGTTCTCCGAATAACCTTGGGATTGGGCAAGCTAATTCCAGGCCGGGATCCGATTGGTTGTCGCAGCAGTACGCTGCGGAGACATCTCGTGACGCTATTTCTACCGCCCCTGTCGCGGGACTGGCCGGGCTTCTGGCCAATCAGCAGGCGCGGCGCGCCCTTCGTTTTCCTCCAGCCCGCCTTTGCCGCCTGGGTTCCCGCGACCCCAACGTCCTAGAGGCGGGGCCGCAGTCATCCGGGACGCTTCTTGGAGCCGGCCTTTGGGTGCCCAACAAACAAACTCCAGCTTGGCGGCGGCCGTGACGATAGCGACGGTGGGTCTTCGTGCTCCTGGTTCCCCGAGGCTCCCTCCGGGCCCGGGAAACTCGGTGAGTAACAAGCGGGCTGGGAGGGTCCGAGTTAGCGCGCTGGGACTGGTGACACACAGGGCCGCCAGGGGAGAAAGAAAGCGGACCTCAGAACCTTGTCTGTTGTCTACTAAAGTGTACTTTTGTGACAGGCCTCAGATTGTTTTCACTGTAAAAATTTCTGGGGGACTGAAACCCTGATCCTCGCTCTTGCAGTCTTTACGATATCAGGCCCAGGCTGTAAGGGATCAGGTTAGTGTTTATAGTCGGTGTTCTACAGGAAGTAGACCCATGTCAAAAGCGAGGTGTGAAATACTGTGTCTGAACACAGAGTCAGTGATGTCACCAGGATAGATTTAACATTCGAGTTGGAGGTTGGAGGGTCGGGTTTAGTAGGAAATTCCAAGTAAATGGGGAGGACAGACTGTGCAGTCCTGTCGGAGACTGCTGATAGATGGAGGATGAGTGACTAGGAGTTATGGTTGCACCGATTGGGTAGGGCCCTAACTATGTTTTTTGTTTGTTTGTTTGTTTTAATTCTGTATACGAAGAAAAGCCATCAGCTTTCTAAACAGGAGAAAAGCTTGTTCCTAGACACATTAGTGTCAGCACTGGAGGGACTTGTCAGTCAATCCGTCAGGCTGATGTGGTCAGCTAAGGTGGGAGGATGGAAAGAACTTTATATGGGCAAGAGGGAGAAGAGGTAAGGATGACTTAATGGTTCTCGTTTGCTACACGATGATTACATTACCCGAGGAAAGTATTTTTGCTAGGTCTATATTTTGTACAGTTTTGGCCATTAGCTTCAGTTAATACTGTCAAAGTAAGCTAGTTTTCAAATCTCATTTGATTGTTTTCAAATGAGAAAGGCCTAATGTACAAAAGAAAAGACAGATAAGGCATTTAAAAACACCCCTATAGTGAAGAAAAATGGCACTTTATATACTTTGTGGAGGTAGAGTTATCAGTGATTACTGTTACCATGACAACCAAGTGCTAAAGAAAGGCTTTTTTAAAATATTTATTTATTTATTTATTTATTTATTTATTTATTTTTAAGAAGCCTGTATTTCAAGAGTTCAGATATCTCTGTGGGGGACTTTTTTTTAAAGGTCATGTTCTTTAGAATTTTGTTCTCTCAGTTATTTTCAGCCTTGCAAATTATGGAAAAGATCTCTTCTAAATGACTTACACCTGTGTTAGTAATCCTTTAGTAATTGAGTCAGATAATTCCTTTTAAAATTTTTATTAGAGTTAAAAATTTACTCGTGTGTGTGTGTGTGTGTGTGTGTGTGTGTGTGTGTGCGCGTGCGTGTGTGTGTGTCTGTGTGTGTGTGTGTGTGTGTGTGTGTCTGTGTGTCTGTCTGTCTGTGTGTGTCTGTGTGTGTGTGTGTGTGTGTGTGTGTCTGTGTGTCTGTCTGTCTGTGTGTGTCTGTGTGTGTGTGTGTGTGTGTGTGTGTCTGTGTGTCTGTCTGTCTGTGTGTGTCTGTGTGTGTGTGTGTGTGTGTGTGTGTCTGTGTGTCTGTCTGTCTGTGTGTGTCTGTGTGTGTGTGTGTGTGTGTGTGTGTCTGTGTGTCTGTCTGTCTGTGTGTGTCTGTGTGTGTGTGTGTGTGTGTGTGTGTCTGTGTGTCTGTCTGTCTGTGTGTGTCTGTGTGTGTGTGTGTGTGTGTGTGTGTCTGTGTGTCTGTCTGTCTGTGTGTGTCTGTGTGTGTGTGTGTGTGTGTGTGTGTCTGTGTGTCTGTCTGTCTGTGTGTGTCTGTGTGTGTGTGTGTGTGTGTGTGTGTCTGTGTGTCTGTGTGTCTGTGTGTGTCTGTGTGTGTGTGTGTGTGTGTGCGCGGGCGCGCGCGCGCCCACATACTACAGTGCATATATGGATGTATGAGACTGACTTGCAGGAGTTGTTTCTCTTCTTCCACTGTATGTCCTGGGAATTTGCTAGTTGTTTTGGTAAAAAGCATCTTTATCCTGTGAGCCATCCTACTGGCCCTAGATTTTTATGTGTTGTTATCATTACTGTTATTGTGTTGTATGTGTGATGTGTGTGTGTGAGCACAGGGATTCATGTGGAGGTCAGATCACAACTTCCCATAAACTGTTCTTTGTTTCCACCTTGCATTCTGGGAATTGAACTCAGTCACTAGTCTTGCACAGCAAGTGCTAAGCTACCTCACCTGCCTCAGACAATATCTTTTTGCTAAAATTGAAACAGTGCACAAAAGGTTAAAAAGTAAAGCTTAAAAAATACAGTAAATGCTGGCAGCTTGGTGGTACATACCCGAATACCAGAACTTGAGAGGCAAGCCTCACAATCCCCAGAAAACCACACATACAAATATCAAACAGGAAAATCTATGAGTGAATTTTATAAACAACTATAATGACCTCATCAACAAGCTCACTCTTGTGATGATAAACAGGAATTCTCTGTCTCCACAAACTGACTTGTGAAATATTATCTGTGTTGATGGTTTGGATCCATATTCACACTTGTTGGATATTCTCACTAATATTTTGTGCCCACTCATTCACACAGCAAACCTTTAGTTTCCACCTCTCTTGAGTTTCAAATCTAATTTCTAATTAGATTAATTTCCCACTGGATCCTTTCATTCAATACTAATGAAGCAAAATACACACTACATAGTCCTTTCTCTATAGGTCAGCATTTACTATTTTTGTTTTTTGTACAGGGTTGCTCTACATAACTCTGGCTGTCCTGTAATTCACTACATAGACCAAGATGGGTTTAAATTCAGAGATCCATCTATGTCTGCCTCCTGAGTGCTGGGATTAAAGTCCTGTGCCATGAGACCTTGTCTTAAAAAAAGACAGAAAAGGATTTGGGGGCAAAATATGTGCATTTTAATGAATAGGTATACTAAATTAAATATTAAAGTTAGCTTATAGGCTGAATGACTCAAGTATGAAAGCAATCAAAACCTATTACTTACATTTAATCTTTTTTTTTTGTATATTGGACTTTGAACATAGGACTTTGCACTTGTAGGCAAGTATACTACATCCTGAGATTTACAAGTATTTAGTTTTATTAATCTTTTCATGTAAGCTGCTTAATTTTGTTATATGGTTAGGTAATGTTTCTTCTATGTTTAACAATATTCTTTTATTTCTGTAGGGTACTGAGGACCAGAAATTGAATAAATCACTCACCAAAATAGAGCCTGTAGTTCCTCTAGAAAAAGCCCCAGATGAACACCAGGTACAGAAACTTTGTTTTATTGGTTATATATTTAAATATTTCTTTTTATTTATGTGTATGAGTGTTTTGCCTATATGTAAGTATTTACACCATATACATTCCTGGTGTCCAAGGTGACCAGAAGACATTATCTGATCCCTTGGAATTGGAGCTACAGATGGTTGCAAGCTGCCATATGTGTGCGGAGAATAAATCCAGGTCCTCTGCTAGAGAAGCAAGTTCTCTCCGGGTCCTATTTTATTTTTTTGAGTCAAGCTCTAGTTATGTAGCTCCAACTGGCCTCACAGTCACCCAGTTCTTTTTTCTCATCCTTACAGATACTAGGATTACAGGCACATTCCACTGTGCCTGGCCATTTAGTTATTTGAGATGGAGGTCTTGCTATGTTGCTGAAGCTGGTCTTGAAACACTGAACTCATTTAAATACTCTTTCCTCAGCCTCTCAAGCTTTGGGACCTCAGGCACATGCCACTATGCCTGGCTTCAAAATATTTTTCACACAGTGTTGTTTTGCAGCTGGCCACATTAACTGGAAGAGAAAAAAGAACACAATCTTCGGGATCAGGAATATCTGGCTCCACGTTTAATTAGATGTATCCCTTGATCTAGTTCATTGATTGTAAGCTGAGGATCGTGATCACTTTCTGATCAGTTTCCAGGAAGGTATTAAATGTGCTTATTAAACTTAAAGGAACAGGCATATAGTAGGTACTTAGTAAATATTAGCTCCTTTTTCTCTCTCACCTACTGACATAGATGTCTTGTTGATGAGAAATTACCTGAACTGAGGTTGAAAGTTAGAAGATTACTTAGTTCCTTCCTAGAGGAATGAAAGAATGTTGGGGTTCCTTCTTTCTAAGCACTGAATCATCTCACCTTGCCAATAATCATCTCACACTGGTCATCCCAAGTTTCTCCATATTTCCCTAAGCCTTTCCTTTTATGTGGAGTCAGGAGGAGGAGCTGGCCACCTGTCCCTGCTTTTCTAAGTCTGTTATTACATGAAGGACCTGGCAAACTACCTCGGGTGATTTAGTTCTTTGAACCATTTTATTGCCCCCTAGAGAGGAACAATTAATGCTGGCATATGGATTTTCTTTCTATTCTAAACTACAGATATGCCTATGGGGAGCTTTTATATTCTCTGTTGCTTCTTTTGTGCCAGATGTTCTTGCTAAAGACAATGGGAAACATGATCAGGGACGCTATCATATTCCTTTTGCTTTAGTCTTGACCCTTCTGTTGTATCACACTACTGCAGTATTTTTTATTTTACCTAACTATCCATCTATGTATCCATCCATCCATGCATCCATCCATCCATCCATCCATTCATTTTGAGACAAGGGTCTCCCTACATAGCCTTGGCTGTCCCGGAACTCACTATGTAGACAAAGTTGGCCTGGAACTCAGAAACCTGCTTGCTTCTGCCTCCCAAGTGCTGGAATTAAAGGTGGGTACCACCATGCCTGGCCCCACGCAGTTTTTTTTTTAAATAATAAAGTACACATAGAGGTATTGATCAATCTGTTGTCATATAGTTAATAAGTGTTATAGTTAGGATTTCAGCTGACATGACCCTTTATTGTGCTTAGGAAATTATTATGGTAAATTGATCTTTAAAGGTACTGTAGACTGTGAAAGATGAAAGAAAAAAGACAACATTGAGCAGTTGACAATGAATTAGAAATTTTAAAGTATTTTACATATGTGTTCAACATTCAACATAACTCTTCAGGGAAGCACTGCTGCTATTTTGTTTGTTTGTTTATTCAAGTCCTTAACATGGCTTCCCTCACCTGTTTTTCAGTCTGTCCTGGAATTCCTAGTCTTGGCCTCCTAAGGACTTGGAATGCCTGGCAAAGAGAATTAATTGTTTCTTATAAAATTTATACTGGTGAGGGGGGCTGGAGAGATAGCTTAGCAGTTAAGAGCACTGGCTGTTCTTCTAGAAGTCCTCATTCAATTCCCAGCAACCACATGGCGGCTCACAGCAAACTGGAATGGAATCCATTGCCCTCCTCTGGTGAGCAGAGGAGCATGTAGACGGAGCACTCATATTAACAAATCTTAAAAAAAAACTTAAAATTTATATTGTTTGCTTTTTCTCATACTTTAATTTTTTTTAAAGGTTTACTTCAAGCAAGATGGTACCTTTCCACTTTCCTCCATCAAAATTGGCACTTTGGAACCCAATGCCAATTGGAGGTTTCATCTACTTGCATCTTAGTTACTACAGGTATGTTTGTTTCTATTTTCAAATCAAACCAGTATGAGCATGAATCAAAAAAGAATATGTAAGACAGGCATAATTGTTATTACTAATACAAATTTGGCTACGCAAATCCCGAAGTCCATTTTTTTCCCTTTTGCTTTGTGTGTGTCTGTGTTTTCACTTGTGGAAGCCAAGGGTTGATGTCCAGTGTCTTCTCCTATTGCTCTCTACTTTATCTTTAGGAACAGGATCTCACTGAATCTGGAGCTTGCCTTTTTAGCTGGTCTGCTGGCTAGCTTATCCCCCACCCCACTCCACCAGACACAGGGGGGATACAGATGGTGCCACTGTCCCCATCTTTGATGTGAATTTGAAGATCCAAACTCAGGTCCTTGTGCTTGCCTGGTAGGAACCATTTCCCCAGATTCTAAAATCTGAAGCTTGGACTGCCAAGATAGCTGAACGGGTAAAGGCACTTGGCCTCAAAATGTGAAACTCGTTGACTGTCAACAAGATAGTATGAAGTGCTGCATTCTACATCTTATCCACCTACAAAATACAGTTATATAAAAATTACCTTCAAACTATAGGTGTTTATAAACATAAATGAATTTCATATTTAGATTTGAGTTCTATCTCCCAAGATTTTGTAATGCAAGTATTCCCAAACTTAAGTTCTTGTGGTCTCAAATATTTCAGGTAAGCTCCATGCAGTATGTATTCATTTTTCTTTACTTTTTCACTAAAAGTTCCTATCAGATAAAAATTCCATCTGTTTGTTAAATTTTCCTTATGCTTTTGAGAAATAATCATAATTTCATAGTTAAAATATTCTGCACATCTTAAGCTCTGAATATTGTAGGAATGTCTGCCATGCTTCAACATGGCGCCTGTTTAGAACCCTGAGAAGATAGAGCTGAGATGGAATTGATCAAGTTAGAAGGTGTAAATGTAGTTCTCTATAGGACCTATGAAAGAAGTTTATACTTAAAGTAATAGTAATCAATTGAACAACTGTTGTGTCGAAGGACTTACTTGCTAACTGGAGTCAGGCTGTCTAGACCCTCAATTCCTGATCCTACCAGTTCTTTTTTTTTGCTTTTTTGGCTTTTCACGGCAGGGTTGATCCTTCAAGACAGGGTTTCTCTGTGTAGCTTTGGAGCCTATCCAGGCACTCGCTCTGGAGACCAGGCTGGCCTCGAACTCACAGAGATCCACCTGCCTCTGCCTCCCGAGTGCTGGAATTAAAGGTGTGCGCCACCAACGCCCAGCAGTTCCTAACCAATTCTTATTTAAATGACTTCAATAAAGTAGTCAAAGATTAGTTTACTTATTTATAAAATAAATTTAGAAGTACCAGGAAAGGATCATGTATAGCCTCTGGAGTGTTTCAAGTACTTGAGTATGCTAAATAAACACTCTACTATAGGGCAACACGTGATCTTTTCCTGGTATTCTAAAGGTTTTCTAGACAAGATTTTAGTACATAGCTCCAGGTGGCCTGAAACTCACTATGTGGATCAGGCTGACTTTAATTATTAATTAAACTCACAGAGATCTGCCTGTCTCTGGGTGTGTGCCACAATCCTGTTTTTTGTTTGTTTGTTTGTTTGTTTGTTTTTATGAGACAAGCTCTCACTATTTAAGCTAGAGCTGAACTTTCTATGTAGCCCAGGCTGACCTTAAACTTTTGATCCTCTTGCCTTGGCCTCTTGAATGCTAGTATTATAACATGCACCACTATTCTTAGCCTCATAGTCTTTTTACAAAGATTAAATGAGAAAGGCTTTGTAAAATAGTTAGCATAGTACCTGGAATATAAATTATTTAGTAAATAGTGTTTATTATATGTAATAAGAATAATCAAGCCAGGCAGTGGTGGCGCACGCCTTTAATCCCAGCACTTGGGAGACAGAATCAGGCAGATCTCTGTGAGTTTGAGACCAGCCTGGTCTACAAGAGCTAGTTCTAGGACAGCCTCCAAAGCCACAGAGAAACCCTGTCTTGAGGAAAAAAAAAGAATAATCATCAGTATTCAGATCAGAAGAAAGAACAAAACAAGGGCTTTGTTGTTACTGTTTGTTTTCTGAGACAGGGTCTTATGCAGCCCAGATTGCCCTCAATTTTTCTATTTATCTAGGATGGCTTTTAACTTGTGAGTCTCCTGCCTGTCTATGGAATGCTGGGACAGGCATATGTCACTGTACCTGGCTAAAGCAAGGTATTTTGAAAGCATTTTATGGCATTTGATGATTGGTTAAATAGAGAACAGTGGAAGATACACAAGTCAAAATATTTAAGTTCTAAAGTAGTTTGCAGAGAAGAATGCTACCATTGACAAGAAAGGAAGGGTTTTGATCCAGTGGGATGGCTCAATATTAGGGCTTTTGCCACCAAGCCTAAAGACCTAAGTTAGATCACTTGGACTCACATGGACCCAATTCCTGAAAATTGTCCCTTTTTTCCTCCTTACACATTATGTTAGAGGTGCAGGACCACCCCTCCCCTGATTCCACAAATAAATAAGTACAATAAAAAAATTTAAGGAAAGTCTTATGGTTAGAAAGATAGCTCATTGGTTAAGAATACTTGCTGCTCTTACAGAGGACCCTATTTGATCCCTAGTTACCATATTAGCAGCTCACAGCCATCTGTTCCTGTTGAGGGCATCTGTTCCAGCCTCCATGGGTACCAGGCACACACATGGCTCACGTATACGCACAGTCACTCATACATATACAAGAAAGAAGACCTATAGAAGTTTAACTATTTGTTATTCTTGTTCATTTTATCCCATTTCTTTTTGTTTTTTTTCAAGACAGGGTTGCTCAGTGTAACAGCTCTAGCTTTCCTGGAACTCACTTTGTAGACCAGACTGACCTTGAAATGATAGAGATCCACCTGCCTCTGCCTGGCTTTCCCCCTCCCCCCCATTTCTTAACTTTTTATGTCAGCTTTCTGTGCTCATACATTTTGAATAATTTGTTTTTAGTTCTACTGTTTTTTCTCCTTAGCTGTGCTTATACATTCAGGGGTTTTTGTGTTTTACTTTTTGTTTTGTTTTTGTTGGCATCTTGAGTATCCATCCCAGAGCTTCTGCAGGCTAAGCAAGTGTTCCACCATTGAGTTATGCTATCCATTTAGGTTGCTTTTAAATATGGAAATAGATATGTATATATGAAAGAATGTTTATATATGTATATCTTATCAGATAATATACAGTTGTATATTGTATATTATTTCCAGTTGATCCTTTGAAATTTTAATCAATTTAATCTTTTATTTCTGAAAGTATTGAATAATTCTTTTTCAAGTTAGTCTAATCTTGGCTGGGGGTGTTGCTCATCTGGTAGAATGCGTTTTCCTTGCTTGCATGAAGCTCTGTAGTCAATCAGTAGCACCACACAAACCACCTGCTGGTGCATGCCTTAATCTCAGGAGGATCAGAGAAGTTCAAGGTCATCCTTAGCTACACAGGGAGCTTAAGGCCAGCCTGGGGTGTAGATATCCTGTCTCAAAAGATTAAAAAAAAGGGGGGGGGGCTAAACATTAGAGTTTGTTTGCGATAGGGTTTCTCTGTGTAGCCCTAGCTGTCCTGGAACTCACTATCTACACCAGGTTGGCCTCAAACTCACAGAGATGTGCCTGCACCTCCTGAATTCTGAGATTAAGGGTGCATGATATCATGACCATTCCTTTCATTTTAAATAAATTTATTTATGTTTTGTATTCAGGGATGCTGTTATTGGACATAAATGATATATAAACAAGTGAATGTGACTATCTCTATCAGACTTTATTTACAGAATCATGTTGACCTCCTAGTTTCAGTTTGTGCTCTGGTCCAGGCTAGGTCAGAACCTGGGGGACATTTGTACCTTTATTGTCAGTGTATGGCTAATATGATGTCCAGGTGGCCTTACCTTTTACAGGGTTACTTTTCAATAACTAGGAATCTCCTGATGGTGATCTTTGTGTACATTTTTCAAATTTTAGTCAGTACTTCTATAGAAAGTTTTTCTTTTTAGGACATCAGGTATACCACATTCATAAAAGATTTTATTTTTCAGAAAGCCAAAGCTTGTGGTAACTGAAAAGGCCATCCGACTTGCTTATCGTCATGCTAAGCAGAATAAAAAAAATGTGCCATGCTTCTTACTTGGTTCTCTCACAGTGGATGAAGGTAATATGTTGTAAAAAATGTTGTATGGCTATTATAGAATGTGTATTTGTTTCAGCCAGCTATTGTATGTGCTTTTGCTAATTTCTTTGCTGTACACCATGGATATGAAAATGAGTAAAATACCCATTAGAGAATTCATGGTGTAGTCATCTGTAGACTATAAACAAATCATTTTTTTTTAGTGTAAGATTTTGGTATACTACCAATATGATCAAAATACTTCCCTAAAATGTGCTTTGGTGGTTTTATGTTTTTAAATAGCATGCTGCATAATAGTTGCTTTTTTTTTTTGTTCTGCAGATGAAGAAGGTGTGACATTGACAGTAGATCGCTTTGATCCTGGCCGAGAAGTACCAGAATGCTTAGAAAGAACCCCTACTGCATCTCTTCCTGGAGATTTTTTGATCCCCTGCAAAGTTCATACTCAAGGACTTTGTTCAAGAGATATGACAGTTCATAATGCAGATGACTTCACTTCAACTTTAAAGGTGAAATTAATAACATTCTTTTTTATAATGATTTGTTTTGAAATTATAATTCCATCATCTCCCCTTTTCCTCCCTCCCATGTATACCCCCTCTTGCTCCATCATATTTATAGCTTTTTAAAAAATTATTGTTACAGATACATGCACATACACACACACACACACAGACGCACAACTTCAACATACTCTGTCTGTTATCTCAGGGCCAACCACTTAATATTGGATAACCAATTAGTGTGCTATTCCCTGGAGAAGACTTTCTCCCACTTTCAACATTTTTCAGTTGCCTGTGGCTCTTTTTTTAAGGTTGAGGCCTCATGAGAGGCCCCCCGTCCATGTTAGCATGTTCATTGGTGGTGCTGTCATTCTTTGGGGCTTATTTAGGCAGCCATGTTGATGAGACTTCATTTGTGTAGCCTCTCTGACATTTTTAGTAGTGACAATTTCATAGCAAACATCCTGTTTTCTGGCTCTTACAGTTTTTGTGTCCTCTTTAGCAGTGATCCCTGGGCCTTAAGTACAGAAGTTGTGTTAAAGGGGTACCAGTTGTGTACACTCTATACTCTCTGCTCTCTGCATTTTGATTGGTTGTAGTTTTCTATAATGATCTTCTGTTACTAAAAGAAGTTCCTTTGATGAGGGGTGAGAACTACAACTTATCTGTGTGTAGAAGGATAAATATTTAGATAGTACTTAATTATGCAGTTCAGTAAGGTTTTCTAGAATCCAAGACTTTTCTAGCCCTGGGTAGTTGGCCAGATTTCTAGTACTGTATCAAGCATGATTTCCCTCTTGGGTGGGTCTGAAGTCCAATTAGAAAGCTGTTGGTTACCACCAAGGTATGTGTCCCACTATTGCTCCCTTAGGGTTATTGTGCCATGTTGGTTCATAGGTGTCATACCTGGTTAGGACTGACTGCCTCCCTTGGAAGTTTGCATGACACTTTGTAGTGGTGTGAAAGCTAGTCCTCAGGGAAGAAGCCTTGGGTCAGATCCAATTCAGATCCTCTTGAGTCCTGTCTGAAGTGCAGGTGACATTTTTAATTATGGATGAGAATCATACTGTGTGGTTTGCAGTATTTTAATAAGCCTGTATTTGAGATTATTTGTAATGATCTATGATTGAATAATTATGGATGTAAAAATCCAAGGTAATGTGGTTTCTGAGGCTAGAGATTATAGGTGAGGGATATGGGTAATATTCCATAAGAGGAAGCAGTATGACCCAAGACAGGAAAGTTCAGGAAGTGCTCAAGGTTGCTAGTATTATATAAACTTTTGCTAAGGGCTGTTAGACTGGATATTAGTTTAGTCAGGTAAAGAGGTTTTTTTGTGTGTTTAGTTATTAGAGGTTTCCTCAGATCTGATCAAGCAGGCTGATTGAAGTCAGAGAGAATGGAAAATGGTCCACTAGGTTTTGTGTGTGTGTGTGTGTGTGTGTGTGTGTGTGTGTGTGTGTGTGTGTTTGTACATACACATATATCTCACACATACACATATACATACAATGGTAGCAGTAAGACTAGAAAGGGCATAGTAGATATAGGTAAATATGGAAGAAGAGTTACTCTAACAATTTGGACAATGAGAAAGGAACCAAAAAGGAATGATTGAGGTTCTCTAAGGCTGAGTCAAAATTAATTTACATATTCCACTACCCACCCCAGTATAGTAAAGTTTTTAGGAGTGATAATTGCCCAGCAAGAATTTGAAGAGTAGCTGGGCAGTGTTGATGCCTTTAGTCTCAGAACTCCAGAGGTAGAGGCAGGTGGATCTCTGAGTTTGAGTACAGCCTGGTCTACATAGTGAGTTCTAGGACAGCCAGGATTACCAAAAACAAACAAACAAACAAACAAAACACTCCACTAGTAATCTTGAAAATGCAAATAAAGGCAAAATGATTTCAGTTTCTACTCACCAGATTGGTTGTGGTATTTTAAAAAGCAGCAATGGCAGCTGAGCGGTGGTGGCACAAGCCTTTAGTCCTAGCACTTGGGAGGCAGGGCTAGGCAGATCTTTGTGAGTTCAAGGCCAGCCTGCTCTACAGATCGAGTTCCAGGACAGCCAGGGCTACACAAGAAACCCTGTCTCAAAAAACCAAAAAAACGAAAAAGAATTTGAAGAGCTTCTAGGACATCCAAGTTGGAAACTTATGATGGAGCTTAGGACTGTTGATTAAATTATTCACATAGTTTTTTGATCATGTGAAAGAAATGAGAATTGAAATGTTGTGAATTAGAACGAATTTAATTTTGTCATTGAAAGATACTATAGAGGTATCTGTAACAATGTTAAATGAACTTTAAAGCTATATAAATGCATTTCAGAATTATAATTTTATAATATTGGCTCCTCAGGCTTTACAGTACCATGTGTGTTGCAAAGATTTCTTGGACTTTGGAAAGCTGCTTTCCCTACGAGCTCAAATCACCCCCAGGGAGAGTGTGGAAGGTGTGGATTTTGACTTTCATTGGACAGCAATAACTCTAGCAAATTCTTTCAAATGTGTACCCGTGAAGCCTATCCCTATTATTCCTACAGCTTTGGCAAGAAACTTAAGTAGTAATCTGAATATTTCTCAAGTTCAAGGAACCTATAAACATGGGTAAGTAAAAGATCCATTAGTCTAAGCTCATAAATATTGGTTAAATTAATATATATTTTTCAAGATACCCATGTAGTACTAAATACTGTAGTCAGTTTTCATGTCAGAGATCCAGCCATTTGATCAGTAATCAGGGGAGATAAGATTACTTATTTCTAAATATTTGTTGCCAGGGTTTGAACCCATGGTCTTGTATATGCAAAGCATACACTCAGCTGCTGCAGTATAACACAGCCTATTATTTTTTGTTGCAAAGTTGTACTGATTCACCCTACAAAAAAGTTGGTAGTAAAAAATTATATTAAAATAGATTTCAGGGCATGATGTCGGACACCTTTAATCTCAGCACTTAGGAAGCAGTAGCAGGTAGATTCTGTGTGTTTGAGCCTATAGTTGGGTCTACATAGTGAGTTCCAGAAATAGCCAGGGCTGCATAGTGACCCCATTAAAGATTTGCAGTGCTCTTGCTCATAAGGTCAACTGCTTAAGGGTGGAGTTCCCTTACAAAGCAGGAGCAGACTCCTTCCCGTCTCACTGTCCCTGAGTTTGTTGGGTGGAGATGCATGCTTTCAGATCCTCAGCAAGCAGTACTGCTTCTCTGATTTATCACTTTACATGTACTGACACGCTTCCACAGTGGAAGTACCCATGCTTGACGGTTTGAGCAGAAGTGACTGTAAGCATTACACTTGTGGCTTCATTTCCCACTGACTCCACCCTAGTTCCTGTTAGGTCTCTAGAGCCAAAAACATTGGCCATGGTAGGCTTTACTCTAACAGAAGAAGGAAAAAAGGACTTTTTCCTTGGAGTAACAAGGAAGTTCCATTTTGAATTTCACATTCTGACCAGAGTGTTGTCTGCTGGTTGAATGGCAGAGAAGGTAATATATTAATTATATTACAAATGATCAAAATCTACAATCAACAGAAAGTATTTGAATGAAGCCTTTATGTCTTTTGGAATAATAAAGTGTTTCTTTCTTTATTTTTTATTTTTTATTTTTTTGGTTTTTTGAGACAGGGTTTCTCTGTGGCTTTGGAGGCTGTCCTGGAACTAGCTCTTGTAGACCAGGATGGTCTCGAACTCACAGAGATCCGCCTGCCTCTGCCTCCCGAGTGCTGGGATTAAAGGCGTGCGCCACCATAAAGTGTTTCTTAATGTGAGATTTTTTTTTCTTTTAAAATTAACCAACAAGTGATTTTCTTTTTATTTGTGCTAATTCCCATGTGCTTCACACAGAATATATTGTCTTTGCATTATTTATCTGTGTTCCCTTTGTATTCTGGTGGTAAGCAGGACACAGGGATATTCAGTTTTAGTTTCTTCGGTTTTTTAAATTGTGTATGTATGTGTATTTAAGAGTAGGTTTGTAAAAGTCAGTGTGGGTGCTTGAGGAGACCAAAAGATATTAGATCCTCTGGAATTACAGGTGGTTGTGAGTTGCCCAACATGAGTGCTAGGAACCAAACTTGGGACCTCTGCAAGAGCAGTGTGGGCTCTTAGTCACTGAGCCATCTCATCAGCCCCTCGCTTAGTGTTATATCCAGTCCAGAGTTTTTATAATGTCCTTTTAGGGAAAGTGGGTTTTGAGTTTTGTTATCATAATCTTTGGCAGAGGTTGGAGGAATGTGTGGAGGGATTAATTATACCTCCCTTAATGCAGTCTCTTTCACTGAGAGGTCACATTTGTCTTTATCAAGTTGCCTGGATACTTGCATAGTTCCAGTAACAGGAATTTCACTTTTCTCAGTAACTTAATTGGGTCTGAAATTGTCCTTTTTAATGTTAACACTGTTTAAAAGCAGCATGTAAGTAAAGTTGATGAGTAAATTATTTTAAGTATGTGATCATAAATGACTCTTTTAATAGAAAAAATGTTTTACATATTGTCTCTGTAGTCTCCTTTTTATCCACTTACCTAAATTCTGTTTCAAGACTCAGTTTGTCTTTTTTGGATTAAAAGAACATACTTAAAATTATGTCTCTTCTGTTTAGATATGTTACCATGGATGAGACACGAAAATTGTTGCTTTTGTTGGAGTCTGATCCCAAGGTTTATTCTCTACCGTTAGTGGGAATGTAAGTATTATTCTACTTAAGACATCCTTTCAGGCTAGTGTGCATCCACAAAATTGGGAAAATTAAGTGTATTATGAGTATTGAGCTCATCTTTTGTGTTGGTTTTTGTGTTTATTTGGTTGTTTTTTTCTTTTTGAGGCAGGACCTTTCTATGTAGCCCTGGATGGCTGGTAACTCACAGAGATCCTCCCGCCTCTGCTTCCAGAATGCTGGGACTAAATGAATATGCCTCCATGCCTAGCTTAATCTCATTTTATGAAGCCACAAAAGCTGGTGATTCTTTAGCTATTAAAATAGCTAAAATACGGTATTTCTGAATCCTAATTGAAGTTGAAGGTCTCCAACCTTCTCTCATTACCTTTGGCTTTATGGTATCTTGAATCCAGGGCTCAACATAATAGAATTTAGAATTCTGTACAACATGCAGTGTACAGAAGTTCCCTTTAGTGTTAATACTGAGTTTCTGAATTGTCTTTCTCAAGGCCATTAACCCACTCACTGTAAAGAAAAAACCCATTATAGCATTTGATCCTCTTCACAATTCTAGTTTTAAGCCACAAACTTTAGTTTCCTCTAATTCATTTCCAGTCCAGGCCAGTTTATTCTGACATCCTACTTTTACCTCCACAAACCATTTTTCTCTCCTACATCCAAGTGAAAGAGAACAAAGAGCATGTACTTATCTCTTTCTTTATGTAGATGTGATATATTTATGTTGCCATCTATATTGATGTAGTCTGCCTCTGAATTACCAAGTGATTTCTTACTTGTGAAGCTTTTAATGTATTGCTGTTGAGTATCAAGAATCAGTCTTAGAAAGGATGTGATCTAAAGCTTGTTAATTTAAAAATAACTTGTAGGGGTTTTCCCTTTTATTTTTGTTTTTATTTTGAGGTAAGATCTCCCTGCGTAGCCCATGCTACCCAAGAATTTGCCACAGTTTCCAGGTGTTGGGACCATAGGCTTGTGCCACCATACTTGGCTAATTATTTACTTTCTGTCTTTTTCTTTTAGTTGGCTCTCTGGAATTATACATATCTATAGCCCACAAGTATGGGCTTGCTGCTTGAGATACATGTTCAGTTCTTCTATTCAGGAAAGGCAAGTGATATTTTATTCTATAGTATTTTAGTTTGTTTTTCTGTCTATATCGTATTGGTTTATATTACAGTGAATTGTATAATACATATACTGTTTTAATCTTTCATAATGCTTAATAAATGCATACTTTAAGAAAAATAATCCTTGGGCTGGAGAGATTGCTCAGAAGTTAAGAGCATTGACTGCTCTAAAGACTAAAGAGTAAGCAGGTAAGCTATGTAGCTATCACAGGTAGGCATAGGCTGTGTTAACTTCAGAGGCTCTGAGTAAAAAATCACCCAATAAGGATGCTGGACAGAAAGGACAGGATGTGAGCTCAAAACAGGTGAGTGGAGAGCTTTTGTTTGCTTTCTCTTCAGTCTTTTGAGACAGGGTCTTTATCTCTAACCAAAATGGCCTTGAACTCACTGTGTAGCCCAGATTGAATTTGAACTCGGGCAGTCTTGCTGCCCCAGCATCTGATAGAACTACAGGTGTGAGCTGCTGTTTCTGGTTACAGAAGCCTTTGATAATCTTTTTTTTTGTTTTTTGACATGGCCGGTCACCATAGAGAGGCAGAGAAAGCGGGTAGGTAGGTGGGAGAAGAGAAGAGCAGAGTGAAGAAGAAGCAGCGAGAGGCCTTTGCTAATCTTTGCTAATCTAATAGAAGCAGCATCATCTTTTCCAGCGTCCCTGACCTCTTGTAGGTGCTGTCTGGGGTGCTCTTTTCTCTTAGACTGTGCTTCTTTCTCATTAATTTGTAAGGTCATGCACTTCCCTGCTTTTTCTCTTTCCCTATTTCTCTCTGCACATACAACACATAACTAATTACTTAGAGCAAAACTCTCTTCCCTCAGATTGTTACTTCATTTAATGTGAGTTACAGTATTTTTCCCAGACTGTATTCTTTTTCCTCATGGTTCTGAGTCTCCAATCCAAAGCTTTGTACATCTCTGACCTATACCCAGACTTTTTAAAAATTATTTTTTTGTGTTGTACTATTTGTTTTGTTCTAAGTGTGTTTTGCCTGTATATATGTCTGTGTACTATTTGCATGCTCAGTGCCTGCAGATGCCAGAAGAGAGCCTTGTAGCCCCGGAACTGGAGTTACAGTGCAGGAAATAACTGGCTGTAATCTACCAGCTGGGTACTGGGAATCAAGCCCAGGTCCTCTAGAATAGCAGCAGATGCCCTTAATGGCTGAACCATCTTTCTAGCCCCAAGATTTTTATTTTAAGTCAAATTTATGATTTTTATTTCTTGCTTTTCCCACTCTGGGAGTATTACTAAAATAAAAGAATCCCTGTAATTTTTTTTTCCAGATACTCATAGTTATATGTTTTATTCACCTTTCCAAGTGAATTTTTTTTTTGTTTTGTTTTGTTTTGGTTCTAAAACAAGCCTACCTTACCTGTAATCCTAGCACTGGGAGGCTAAGGCAAGAGGATCAATTTGAGGCCAGCCTTGGCTACATAGCAAGTTCCAAGCCAGCCTACATTATGTGAGTTCTTGTCCCAGGCAGACAGACAAAAAGCGAGGAAATGTGCTAAATCTTTTCTTTCTTTCTTTTTAAAATTTTTATTATTATTCATGTGTATGGGTGTTTCCTCTGCATGCATGTCTATTTATCTTATGCATTCCTGTTGTTTATGGAGACTAGAAGAGGATTATCAATTATGTTTTTACCCCATCTGGGTTTGCAAGACAGGGTTTCTCTATGTATCCCTGAGTTTCCTGGAACTCACTCTGTAGATCAGGCTGGCCTAGAACTCAGAGATCTGCCTGCCTCTGCCTCCCACATGCTGGGATTAAAGGCATGCACCACCACTGCCTAGCTGTCAATTACTCATCTTGTTTTAAGTTTCTATAGACAGTAAATGTTCACTAAAAGCTCAGGTGGGCTTTTTCATTCTTCCATGTAGCTACAGGTGTATACCATTGTGCATATACGAATATGTGTATGTGTGTGTGTATGTATGTATGTATATATGTATATACATATACATTTTTGAAATAGAAGGTTTCAATATCCATTTTATACATTCCTGTTTTGATGTTTTACAAGGGGGCTGGAGAGATGGCTCATTGGTTGAGTACTGATTGTGCTTACAGAGGACCCTGGTTTAATTCTCAGTACCCAAATACTGGCTTTGTGCCTCTAAGGGCACCAGGCATGCATGCCATGCAGGTACATATGTGTAGACAAACACATACACATAGAAACAAAACTAAATCTGGCAGCTGAAGAGATGACTCAGTGTTTAAGAGCACCAGCTGTTCTTCCAGAGACCCCAGGATCAATTCCTAGCACTCACATGGCAGCTCACACCTCTCTGTCTCACAACTCAAGTTCCAGGGGATCTGACACCTCATACCAATGCACACAAAATTAAATAAATTATTTAGAAAAATAAAAATAAATAAATCTTTAAAAAATAGGAACAAAAGGTAAGTATGCATACTTTATACAGTCTGTTGACTAGATTGGGGAAATTATCTGGGAGATCTTTCAGTATAATTTTATTAGCACCAAATTTTAATTCAATGCCATTTTTTTGTTCAGGGTTTTTTCAGAATCTGGAAATTTCATCATAGTTCTTTATTCGTTGACACATAAGGAACCTGAATTTTATGAGTGCCTGCTTTGTGACAGTAGGGCAGCTGGCCTTCAGTTTCAGTTACTAACCAACAAGGAGACTTTACATCTTTTCAATGTAAGTGCTTAGGCTCACCTGTGTGCCTGTTACTTTGCTCATCGCTCCTGACAAAGTATCTTGAGACAAACAAGGAAGGGGAGATTTCTTAGGGCTCACAGTTTCAGAGAGTTCAGGCCATGGTAGGTTGGCCTCATGTGCTAGAGCAGAACATGATGGTAGTAGGACTGTGTCGGAGGAGAGAGCTACTCACTTGATGGCTGACCCAGAAGCAGGACAGCAGGAATACAGACACTCCACTGACTTTATACACCCCTTGCTTCTTTCGGGGCTTCAGCACATGAGATGGTACCATCCACATTCTGTGTGTGTCTTTATAAATTAGTCCTCTCTGGAAACACCTTCACCAATAATATTCAGAGATTCCTCATCTATGTAGGTGAATGGAAATCTAGTCAAGTTGATAGTCAAGATTTTTTTTTTCTAGTCATTTTGTCAGTACCTTATACATTGTATTATTTTGTACTGTTGAGAATTAATTTTTGTTAGTGTTTTTCTTGTTACAACTTATTTTTAAAATATATAGATATAATTAGTAATATATAAAAGATTTTCATGGGAGCTGGAGACATGACTTAGTGGTTAAGAGCACCGTCTGCTTTTCCAGAGGACCTGTGTTCAGTTCCCAGCATCCCCATGGTGACTCACAACCATTTGTAACTCCAGTCCTAGAAAACCAACAAAGTACATAAAAATGCATCTAGGAGCCAGGCCTAGCAGCACAAGCTTTTAATCCTGGTACTCAGTAGGCAGAGGTAGGTGGTTATCTGTGAGTTCAGAGGCTAGCCTGATCCACACTGAGTTCTAGGAGAACCAGGCCAAGACCTTGTCTCTAAAAATAAATGATGAATCTAGGTAATCAGATAAACAGGTAATCTAGGTAAACAGAGAAAGTAGGTCTTTGAAATTGTTATGTAAGAACTAACTTCAAAGGATAAGCCAGGTGTGGTGGCACATGCCTTCAATCCCAGCACTTAGGAGGCAGAGGCAGAAGGACCTCTGTGAGTTAGAGGCCAGACTAGTCTACATAGTAAGTTCTAGGGTATCTGGGGCTATGTAGAGGGGGCCCTATCTCAAAATAAATAATAAAATTAATAAATTAAAAAATAAAGGACACCCTCTCCTTTTTGCCCAGGCTGGCTTCAAACTCCTTGGCTTGAATAATCTTCCTATCTCAGTCTCCTAGTTTCCTAGGGTTATATATGTCTACCATTGTTACTAGTTTAAACACTGTTTTATTAATTACTGTTTATCTTAGGTCTCAAGATAAGTAATAAAAATATATTCATTATTATAAGAATACTATATAAGAATACATATTATAAGAATTTGGAGTAACTCCAAATAACCATGTGGTTCCACTCAGCTCAACTTGTTTTCTTTGACTTATTTATGGATTGTATCATTTCATGAAATTTTTTTTATGTTTTTATATAATTATTCACTGAATCTCTGGTTACCTAGTGAGTTTTATAATACAGGGTTAGGTTTTCATTTTCACATACAAAGCAGGAAGCCAGACATTCTACAGAAGCCAGATTACCAAAATCAGAAGTGCTCCTTCTGCCAGTGATCCAGAGCTACTGTTGGGATAAATTGTAAATCAGATCTCAAAGTATGACCTCCTTCATTTCAGAATGTTGAATCTTCTGACAAAAATCCAATCCATTTTGAGCTAAGTGCTGAAAGTCAAGATGCAGAAGCAGAGTTTTTGAGCAAGATATCCAAGAGTCTGTCAGTTAAGAGGTAAAAGATAATCTTTATTGCCATATATATCTTCTTTATTCATTATTAGTTTTTATTGAATATTTAAATATTTTCAGAGCCAGTAATATTTACACAACGAATAAAGTCACTTGCTGTTGACCTGAATTTGATCCCTGGAACCCAAGTATAGGTGGGAGGAGAGAAGTGACCCCAGAGTTGTTCTCTGGCCTCTACCTGTGGGGGCATACATTCCTTCCACCCCAAAATATATAAGGATTTTTTTTTAAGACTTCCAATTATTTCTGGCAAAGATACTTGATAAACTCAGCTCAAAACTATCTTTGAATACTAGGGGTTGGTTGGTTGGTTGTTGCAATCTTAGTTTGTCCATTGACTCGTTAGAAACCATTTTTATTTTTAAATCATCCTAGCAACTGTCTTGTCTGTTTCTTGAGTTCTTTTATTCATTTGTTTAGTAGGAGTACAAGATAATGAGATTCATTATGATATTTTCATACTTGTATAATGTGCTTTGCTCATATCTATACTTCACTTTCTTCCTCCCTGCCCTCTTTCCATTAATAGTTCCCACTTGGTTTTCAGGCACATAAATTTATAGCTAAATCTATATCCTCATATCAGAGAAAACATATTAATCTTTTTTTTTTTTACTTTTTAAAAATTATTTTATTTAATTAACTTTCTTTTTCATTTATTTTACATACCAACCACAGTTTCCCCTCCTTTCTCTCCTGCCCACCCTCTATCCCCTCTACTCCTCTATCTCCATTCAGAAAAGGGCAGATCTCCTATAGGCACTAAAGCATGGCACATCAAGGCACACATGGCACATGAGGTCAGACTGAACTCCTCCCACTGCATCAAGGCTGGGCTAGGTAATCCAGTATGGGGAACAGGTTCCTCCAGCTAAGTGCCAAGTCAGATCTCACAGCTAGGAGCCTTACAAATAGACCATGTTATACACTGTCACACACATGCAAAGGGCCTAAGTTGGTCCCATGCAGGCTGTCTAACTGTTGGTTCAGAGTCCATGAGCTCCCATGAGCTCAGGTCAGCTGTATTTGTGAGTTTCCCCTGGCTCTTACTCCCAGAGCTCAGCCCAGTGCTTGGCTGTGGATCTCTTCATCTGCCTCCAACCGTTATTGGATAAAGGCTCTCTGATGGCAATTAGGGGAGTCACCAATCTGATTACAGTAGATGGAAAGTTCAGACACCCTCTCCACTATTGCTAGGTTTCTTATCTGGGGTCATCCTTGTGGATTACTGGGAGTTTCTCTGGCACCAAGTTTCTCCCTAACCCTGAAATGAGCCCCCCCCCATCAAGACATCTCTTTTGATACTCTCTCCCTCCATCCAGTCCCAACCCACCTCCTGGGTCAAGCCCACCTAACCAGCTCCCTCAAGTTCCCATCCTCCCCAATCCCCTTAACCCTTCCTACCCCCAGTTTACCCAGGAGATCTCTTCTATTTTTCCCCTCCCCGTGAAATCCATGCATCCCTCTGTGGGTCCTCTTTGTTATCTAGCCTCTCGGGCTGTGGATTGTAGATTGGTTATCCTATCCTTTACTCCTAATATCCACTTACCAGTGACCATATTTGTCTTTCTGGGTCTGGGTTACCTCACTCAGAATCATTTTTTTCTAGTTCCATTCATTTGCCTGAAAATTTCATGATGTCATTATTTCTTACCACTGAGTAGTACTCCATTATATAAATATACCACATTTCTCTTATCCATTCTTCTGTCAAATAAATAAATAATATATCACCATAGACCATTTTTCCTGGTAAACTAACACTGACCTAAGAAAATTATCTGTAGCTGTTAGGTACTAAATTATATGTTTGAGTATTTACTAAATGACATCACTTTTCAGAAAAGAAAAAACAATCCTGGTTTGCTGAAGGTTTTTCTTGTCGCCTCTTCTACTCTTTAGATCTCCCCAAAAAGTATCTCCTGGGAAATTACCAATAAATAAGCATGATGCTAACTTTGAAGATGAGGATCTTTCTCCAAGACCAATTCCCAGTCCTCACCCAGTGAGTGAAAAGGTAGTGCTCTTAAAATGAACTCACTTTCAGCTAGAAGTCTTACATAGTAAAGCGCTTAAATACCACCTCATATTTGTATAAGAATCCTTCTAGCCAGTATAGCTTTATGTAGGAATATATGTATGTATCTCATATGTGCATATAATTGATAGTGTATACGTATGTTCACATATAGGTAAGAAAATACACATAAGTATAAGGAAACTGAGGTTTCTGTCGGTTAGCTGTTCACAGTCACACAACTAGTAAGCAGTACAACCGGGATTCCAGTTCTGGGGCTTTAGCTTCAGAATTCGGTGCTTCCAGCAATCATGTGGACTCAGCATTCTGTCACTGCACCTGGTTTTGTTAGTATACTCAGAGAAAACATTTGTGCTTATATTTAGAGGTTAGTTGCCAATAACTTTGCTTGTCATACTTTTTTTTTATTGTTACCAGCTAGTGAGATATTTTAGAAATGTTTACCTTAAGTGGACTTAATTGAAAGGAAAAGAAATGGAAAAGATTTTTTAAAATTAATTTGGTTCACAATCCTCCACCACCCATACTGTTGGGTGTTTTAAATTTCTTCCAGAGCATCTCTTTCTCTCTCTTTTTAAAAAAGATTTGTTTAGTTAATGTGCACTGGTATATAGTCTCTGTGAGGGTATTAGATTCCCTGGAACTGGAGTTACAGACAGTTGCAAGCTGCCATGTGGCTGTTGGGAACTGAACCTGTGTCCTCTGGAAGAGCAGCCAGTGCTCTTAACCACTGAGCCATCTCTCCAGCCCTTCATCTCTTTCTCTTAACCCTCCAGCTTAAAATTTGTATTGAAATCTCCAGCACTGCTTTTAAAAAAAAAAAAATTATAGTATAAAAGATTTTATGTTCGCTACCATCTCTTTTATTTAGTAAAAATAAAAGAAATAGCTGAGTAACTTTAGTGGAGAACTATCCTGAAGTATTTATTGGAGTAGTTTTTTGTTTGTTTGGTTTTGGTTTTTCAAGACAGAGTTTCTCTGTGTAGCCTGTCTCCTGGAACTTGCTTTGTAGACCAGGTTGGCCTTGAACTCAGAGATCCACCTGCCTCTGCCTCCCAAGTGCTGGGATTAAAGGCATGTGCCACCACTGCTTGTCAGAGTGTTATTTCTTTACGGAATATTAACATGGGCTGCTGTATTTGTTGAAGCATTCTGCCTGGTAAACTTTTTGGCAGAGTGAAGGTAAGAAACTGTAGTATAATGCACTTTCTCTCTTTTTTTGTAATCTAGACAATGTCAATCAGTGTCAAAATAAAAGGAGTTCCATTTTAAATAAATAAGTCTTGGAGCCTGGGGTGAAGTGGCAGAGGTGGCACATGCCTTTAATTCCAGCGGGAGGCAGAGACAAGCAGATCTCTGAGTTTGAGGCCAGCCTGGTCTACAGAGTGAGTGCCAGGACAGCCAAGACTATGTAGAGAGATCTAGTGTCTTACTTAGGGTTTTTATTGCTGTGAAGAGACACCATGACCAAGGTAACTCTTCTAAGGAAAACATTTAATTGGGGTGGCTCACTTATAGTTTCAGAGGTTCACTCCATTATTATCATAGCAGGGAGCATGGTGGCATGCAGGCTGACTTTGTGCTGGCTGCATCTTGGCTTGCAGGGAACAGGAAGTTGACTGTGACACTGAGTGGTGTATCCTGAGCATAGGAAACCTCAAAGCTCACCTCCACAGTGACACACTTCTTCCGACAAGGCCATACATACTCCAACACAGCCACACCTCCTAATAGTGCCACTCGCTATGAGATTATGGGGGCCAAGTACATTCAGACTACCATATCTAATCTCACAAATCTAAATGAGTTGGAGGAATATTAACCATATTTGAGGGCAACCTTGTTTACTGTGCTCACAGTTATATTTCTACTGCCTGCCATGTACCCAGAAATATTTGTTGATGGCCCAAATAATGGAACAAATCTTAGTACGTAATTGAATATTATTTGGGAAATACTTGTCTAAGGAAAACAGAACAAATAAGTTTGCTAAGAATTTCCACTTTAAAAAAAAAAAAAAGAATTTCCACTTTACTTCCATTTATAGATTTCTAAGATCCAGCCATCTGTCCCTGAACTTTCGCTTGTGTTGGACAGCAACTTCACAGACTCAAGTAATCAGTCTAACCCGTTGGAAATGGAAAACCCTGTGCTGATGAAGCAATCCAAGCCTGATCTTTGTGATGACAAACACAGCACCGAAGCTGACGTTGGGGAGCCTGCCCTGACAGGGATACCAAATAAGTTAAGCCAGGACACTGCTTTGAGACATTGCAGAGGGAAGCAGTCACCTACCTGTAAGAAAGAAAGGCCCCATTTCAGGAACACTAATGCTAAACCACTTCTTAATGCACCTTTTCCTGATGTATCTGAGACACTTCAAGCAGTTTCTACTGGGAGCATGCAAAAGGAAGACCACCCTGTGAGACCTTCCTCACTGAATTCGAGGCAGCCCTCACTTGCTCCGCAAGCCCACCCACACAATTTTGTTTTTTCGCCCCATAATTCAGCAAGACCAATGGAGCTTCAAGGTCCTATTCCTTCACTAACCCCTTACTATTCCACAAACACCTGCAACTGTTGTCACCATCATGGCCATGTTCAGTATAGTACAATAAATTCTTGGCAGGGAAATATGGTAGGCTCCCTTCAAGACCTCCGGAATGAAGCCCTTCCAAAACATGCATTATTTCACTCAAGTGGCTGTCTTTGTCATAATGACATCTACTCTTCGAGTAGCCCAGTGGCCATGAAACCTCAGGGAGGCAGGAGTGGCTATTCCTCCCGCAGTAGTGGAGAGCCATCCCTTTCACATATGGACTCGTGTGTACCACAGACTTGTGCTATGTGCATGCACACACCCAGCACGGTACCTGACAATGGCATGATGGGACTATCTCCTGATGCATATCGCTTTGTCACAGAGCAAGACAGGCAGCTGAGACTACTTCAGGCACAGGTTTGTGTGGAGCTTTCTTGGTACTCTTAAATTCTTAATATATTTCCTTAATATCTGGCAACTCTCTACAGTGATTATGCTTTATAGCACTGTAGAATACTAGAACCAGAAAGGCTTTAGAAGCTGAATTCTAGTCCCCCTTGTTTTACAGATAAAGTGAAGAGAAAATAATTTTAACCAGCTCCATTTTGCTGGTTAGTAGGGCTAGTACCAGGGAGCAAGTCTTTTGTGAATCCTAACCTATAACACATTTGCATTTCCTTTCTGTGTTCTATAAACCTTTATATATAGCTAAGTACAAAGGCTGACATGTCTCTCATCCTTAGCCAGTGAGTCTTTTTGTTTGTTTCTTTGTTTGTTTGTTTGTTTGTTTGTTTCTCCTTTGGTTTTTCGAGACAGGATTTCTCTGTCCCATTACAGGTGCACATCACATCTGGCTCTTACTTGGGTCCTCATGTTTGCATGGCAAATACTTTACCAGCTAAAGTATTCCCCGGCCCCAGATAATTTTCTGACATTCCCATTGTGAGTGTGTATAGAACTTTATTATATTGGGTCATTTTCTAAGAGTACATATGGGCGTTCTAATTGTTTTGTTCTGTTCTGTCAACACTTTAAACTTCTGTCTATTGCAATCAGTGTACCAGTGGACATCCCTATACTTGTAGGGTTTTTTTTTTTTTTTCAGTGCATTTAATTTTATGTATTTTTTTTAGAATTTTTTGCATCTTTCAGTTGTAGACTTTAATAGTCGAACCATCTTTTCAGCCCACTTACATGCATTTTTATTCACATTTAATTTTTTTTATTATATTGTATTGTGTGTGTTCATGTTGACCATAGCATGCATGTGGAGGTCAAGAGTTTAAAGAGTCATTTCTCTCCTTTCACCATGTGGGTCCTGGCGATCAAACTTGGGTCATGAGGCTTGGTGGCAAGCACCTTAACCCACAGAGCCATCTCACAGGCCCTCCAGAAGTAAATTATGAAGTCAAAGGAAATGTTTATCTAGAAAGTTCCAAGATACCCAGCCTTGGGCTGGGTTGTAGCTCAGAGGTGGGGCACTTGCCAGGTATACAAAATGGTACCCAAACTTTCTCCTCCTCTAGTATTTTTGGTGTGATACTTAATGGAGTAGGCAAATGTATTGGACGGACAGATTCCTTAGATTGTAATCCAGTTTCCAGCCGATATAGATTATGTAGGCATGGAAATCGATAATTATATTAGTACACTAAAATGTGTTGGGCTAGCTAATAGTTGGGCTAGCATAATAGTATCATTTACAGGGAAATAGAAATCAAAATATCTCGGGGGAAAAAACAAAAATAATCAACAGCAAAACAAACAGAGGGGGATGTTCCTCACTCCAGTATATATTCAAGAAAAATCCAAAGCCCTGTACACATGCTGCTGTGGTGGCACCGCCAGGAGATGCAGGGAAAGGAGACTCAAGCTGGGAGCCAGCCTGAGCAATAGAGCGAGGCTTAGGTCAGCTGGGACTACTTAGCAAGACCCCATCTTAAAACAAGAAGACAAAATCAAAATCAAACAAAAATCCTGTGTGTAAATGTCCATATCAACATTCTCAATAGGCCAAGTTATAAACAGCCTGATTGTCCATCAGCTTGATAGATGGATAAACTCAGTAAGCATATCTGTACAGTGGAATACTTAGCAGTCAAAAGCATTGATAAATGCTATAGTTAATCTTCAGAAGCTTTATGTAAAGAGAAAGAAGCCAGACATAAGACTTAGTTCTGTCTATGAAATGTCCATGTCTATGAAATGTCCAGAACTAGCAAACGCATAGAGTGTGTTGGTGGGTACAAAGGGCAGGAGAGGGGTGGTAAGGAGTGGCCGTGAGTGATATAGAGGCCTTTAGGGTTTGAAATGTTCTGGAATTAATAGTGATTATTGTTTCATATTTTGTGAATATACTATCACCTTCAGAATTGGTGAATTCTAAAGTATGTAAATTACATCTCTGTTTGAAAAGGAGAAGGGAAGGCTCTTGATGTTAGTTCCTCAGTTTTGTTACTGGTCATATAATCTCAACAGGTAACTGTAATGTTTCAAGTTTCTCACATGTAAAATCAATTTTAATAGTAATCTCTTTGTAGAATTGTAAAATTCATACATAAAATCTGTGCTATAGGGCTGGAGAGATGGTTCAGTGATTAAGAGCACTGGCCACTCCTCTGAAGGACCCAGGTTCAATTCCCAGTATCCACATGGTAGCTCATAGCCATGTTAATAGCTTGTAACTCAAGCCTTGGGGAATCCAGTGCCCTCTTCTGGCCTCCATGGACACCAGTGTAGCCAAACAAGCAATTTTTAACAAAAATTTATAAAAAGAATTACTGTTGTTTATTTTTTTTAACTCTTTGGGGGGCCCTGCCACCTGGCTTCCAAATAAATCACACACACACACAAACACACACACACACACACACACACACACACACACACACACACACACACACACACACACACACACACACACACACATACACACTTATTTTTAGTTATAAATGCCCAGCCTTAACTTGGCTGATTTCTAGCCAACTTTTCTTAAATTATCCCATCTACTTTTTTGCCTCTGGGCTTTTTCCTTTTCTTACTTCTGTGTATGTTGCTTTTACCCTTACTTCATGGCTGGCTGGATGACTGACCCCTGATGTCCTCCCTTTGTTCTGTTGCTGCTCCTTTTTCTTTTTCTCAGATTTCTCCTCCTATTTATTCTCTGTGCCTGCCAGCCCCACTTTTCCTTTCTCCTGCATTGCTATTGGCCATTCAGCTCTTTATTAGACCATTAGGTGTTTCAGACAGTCGAAGAACCACTGCTTCACAGAGTTAAACAAATGCAGCATAAACAAAGGCAACACATCTTTACATCGTTAAACAAATCAGGGCCTTGGGAAGTTAACTTCTCAGAGAGAGGCTGACAAGCCAGGCCCACAGGAGGCTATCTCAACACAAGAGTGATATGGACCAGACCAGGAAGAATATAGTCAATGGAAGTCCAGGGTGCAGCTTAGTGTGTGGGAGACTCTGGGTTCTCATGCAGAAGAAAACATGAAGGAGGGAGGGAAGGAGAGAGAAAGAGAGAGAGAGAGACAGAGAGAGAGAGAGAGAGAGAGAGAGAGAGAGAGAGAGAGAGAGAGAGAATTCATTCATTCCACTATGGATTGAGCTCACATCAAGCCATCTGTGTGGATCTGACCATAAAGCAGGTATGAAAATCTATGCATTAAAAATTGGAACATAATTGAAGGTAAAATAGTAAAGGAGTGCCCCAGGTCAGACAGAATGTGGGGACTGATAGTCTAGCCAAGACCTAATGGAAGAGTGGGAAGAGAGCAGGTAAAGAGGCAGGAAGAACAGCATTGAGCAGCATAGCATGTGCAAGGATGCGGAGGTAGAGAAGGGTGGTGAGCACCACAGAGGCAGCAAGTCCTGTGACCCCCCCAACTTGGCCTTGTCACTACATGCAGGCCATGGCAGCTGCCACCTGCTGCTTCATGCTTAACACATCTTAAAATAATATCCTACAACAAAGAATCTTGTGTAAAATGCTCAATGTTTGGTACATGAAGCTCAGGGTATGCCTCTGTCTCCATTCTTAATTTATAAGTGAAGTAAGACTAAATGCATTGGTGTGAAGTATTTGAATAGAAAGTATGACTTGAAGCCATTCAGACTTTTCTGCATAAGTGTCAATTTATGGTTACTAATCTAACCACCTGTATGTTTCACTTTTAAATTTATACATAATGAAAGTGAATCTTAGTAACTAAGGATAATGGCTTTCTGTACTAAATAAGTCTCGTGGTATGATTTAATTGTATTGTGAGAAAATGTAAGTTAAAAGTCATCTCTGTAATAACTAGAGTAATTGTAATTTGTTACTAAACTCTGCTACCAGTTTTGTTGATTGCTTCCTTGTCTGTTTAATGTATGTTTTTAATTGATGCAGATTCAGCGCTTATTGGAAGCACAGTCTCTAAATCCTGGCTCCCCTAAGACAACTACTGTGGAAGACACTGTGAAAGCGGCAAAACAAGTGGAGCTGGTTTCCATGGAAGCACAGTCTTCGCCTGGCTTGCACATGAGAAATAGTGTAAGCATTGCTGTGAGCACAGGTAACTAATTTTCAATCGTAAGAAATTAGTTTTTAATGCAACTCACATTTGCTTTTTGAAAGAAAGGAATGGAGTGGGGGATAAGGAGATGGCTTAGTACAGTGCCTGCCTGCCACACACCGTAAGGATCTGAGTTCAGATCTGCAGCCCCATGTAAAAAGCCAGGTGCAGTAATGTGCATCTGTAATCCTAGTCCTGGGAAGACTAACATAGGAGGATTTCCTGGGGCTCTCCGGCTAGTGAGTCTTGCCCAGCCAGTGAGCTGTAGGCTCAGTTCTCAAAATATAGGGTGGAGAGTGGTAGAGAAAGACACCTGACTATATGTATATGACTATACACTCTGCTATCCATATGTATTTGTACATGTATGTTCACATGTGCATTCAGACAGAACACACACCAAAGTGTAGTGTTTTTCTGTCTTATAAATTTCTGTATTCACTATATTGTAGTTTTGTTTGGTTGGTTGTTTGCTTGGTTTTGTTTTGGTTTTCCCAAGACAGGATTTCTTTGTATATCCCTGGCTGTCCAAGAACATTCTGTAAACCAGGCTGGCCTCGAATGCACAAAAATCCACTTGCCTCTGCCTCCTGAGTGCTGGGATTAAAGGCATGGGCTACCGCTGCTGCCCAGTTCCAAAACAAATTATTAATAGTCATTTGAATTAAGAGATTCTTAGAAGCATATTTATTTCATATATTTTCTCTAAAGGTATAGAGTCAGCAGGACCTATTGCAAGTTTTTGTAAAGTTATTTTTTTTCTAAAATATATGAATGCAAAGTTAAACCATTATTGATTTATTCTCATAAAGTCACTCAAAATAGAAAATGTTTTCATGTGGTGCATGCCTGTAGTCCCAGTAATCTGTAGAGTCTTGAGTTTGTGGCCAGGTTGGACTCTACACCTTGTCTCAAAAACAAAATAAAAGAAAAAGAAGAAAGAAATCATTTCAACTTATATTTTTTGCTTCTTCAAACCATTACACTGACAGTGTTTCCTGGGTTGGAAAATGTACATAGGTCATGGTACAAGAAATTAGTTGAGGTAGTGTATAGATGGGTGTCTTATTTTTGTAAATCTATTTTTCTTTTAGATATATGTGTAGGAGTTTTTTGTTTTGTTTTTACCTGCATATATGTATGGATGTTCACCAGCTATATGTCTGATGCTAGCAGAGGTCAGAAGATGTCGTTAGATCCTATGGAGCTGGCGTTAAGGAAGGTTGTGGATCACCATTTGAGTGCTGGGAACCAATCCCAGGTCTTTTGCAAGAAGAAGTGCACTTAACCAGTGAGCCTTCTTTCCAGCCGCAATTTTTTCTTATGTGTAATGGAAAAGGTGTGACTAGCATATCAAACCTATGACTTCACCTATGAAGCTGGGTAAAATAAAGTGAGTTTATGTAACAGAGTATAAATAAATAGTATGTAGATTGGCTCTGAAAGCATGTACAAATGGCTCATTACATTGGAGAAGCATTGGATTTTTGTTTTTGGTTCTTAAGGTGCGTTTGTGTTTTATGCATATGTGTACAGGTGTGCTGAACCTTGTAGGTCTGAATAGATGTAAGAAGTTGACATCTATCTGTCTCTGCTTTATTTTTTGTGACAGTCTTTTTTGCTGTTTCATCTAGGCTGCTGGCCAGCAGGTGGCATTTACATGGGCGCTAGGGATCTAAAAAGCAGTTCACACATTGAGCTGTCTCTTTATCCCCAAAGCCCTTGATTTTTTAGATACCTGCCCTGTGCACCTCTAACAAGGTTTCTTAGAACACTCTACTTAAGAATCAAAACCAGAGAACCTATACATTTACAGATCTTTGAAATGTTTTTTTTTTTTTTGCATGTATATTTTTTTTCTCCTTAGATATTTCCATTTTATTTTGAGGCAGACTCCCACTAATGTAACCCAGATTGGCCTTGACTTGAACTCGATTCATATCCCAGGCTGCCCTCCCATTCAAGATCCCCCTGCCTTAGCTTCTTGAGTGGTGGAGTTATGGGCATGCTCTTGAACAGCAGGACATAGGATGTCCCCTTTCCCTTTGTCACTGGTTTTCTCTCTTCCTGCCTTTTACCTGTTTCTCTTTGTGGCATTTTTTTAAAGGTAATTTGAAACAGTGTAACTTTGTTAAGATGATGTAGATGGTCTTTACAAGCTCTTTTGTTTATTCTCTTTATAGTTGAGTCTTTGTTCTAGTATCTGAACTCTTTTAACATCTAGGTGCTAGCTTGTTTTGGAATGCAGCATGTGATGATCAAGAGCCTGACTCACAGCTAAAACAAGATGATACCAAGATTTCCAGTGAAGACATGAATTTTTCTGTTGATATTAATAATGAAGTGGCAAGTCCTCCAGGTAGTGCATCTTCATTAAAAGCGGTTGACATTCCCAGTTTTGAAGAAAGCAATCTTGCTGTGGAAGAATTTAATCATCCACTTCCTGAATCCAAGTAAGAGCCTTTGGTCACTGGTTCACCCTACTTTTTTTTTTTTTTTAACATTTTCTTTCTTTGCAGTGCTAAGGATTGAATATATTTTATATTTGGGAGCTGTGTTTTGTTTTGTTTTTGGGGGTGTTGTTTGTTGTTTTTTTTTAGACTGGGTCTCTATGCAGCCCTGGCTGTCCTGGATCTCCCTATGTATAGGCTGGCCTTGAACTCACAGAGATCTGCCTGCTTCTGCCTCCTGAGTGCTGGGATTAAAGGTGCATGCCCTTTGCCTAGTTTAGAATGTGATTTTTACATTTATACACATAGTATAGAATAACTAAATCTGGCAATCAAAATTATATCTTCATATACTTTTTGTGGTGAAAACGTTTAAGATCTGCTCTGTAATTCTGAAATACATTGTGTGCTATTATTACAGTCACCAATGTGTACATTTTCTTCCTCTTTGAGATATTGATATACTTACTGCATTTTCATTGATGTCTTTTTATAGCAAGTGTCAGATTCTGATGAGTCAGGGTTCCAGATGACAGTGCAATTAGATTTGAAAGAGACAACTTTAATACTTACCTACAAAATACATTTTTATATGTTAGCCTCAAAGTCATAGGAGATGAGCTGACTAAATACAGAAACAAAATTGACAAAATAGTAAATTTTGGAACATTGGATGTGGTGTTTTGTTAAACAATTTTCACATATGTTTGAAGTTTTTCCATTAAGGAGTTTTCTATTAATGATTCCAATGTCATTTAAATCCTCAGTAAATTTGGCAAAATTTAGCAAGTGTTCTTTGAAATAATTTTCTCAGATTTAAAAGCCTTGTGATACTAATTGCTATTTTAAATTATTGATTATATAATAGTTAGACAATGAGAATGTACCTCTAAAAAGCTAAGAGAAACACATTTTTAAAATTTTATAATACTGTTTTAATCACAGATTCAATTAAATGTTCATACCGGTACCAGTTTATTTAAAAACATCTCCCCAGCAAAATTGAGTTCCTGGAACAGGGTGATGATCATATTTATTTCTCTATCTTTGACATAGTTTCTCCCCACATTAGCTCATTCATTCATTCATTCATTCAGACAGTCCAACTGTCCTAGAACTTGATATGTAGCACAAGCTGACTTTGAACTCGTGATCCTCCTGAGGGCTGATATTATAGCTATGCACTACCATGTCCAGCTCATGTTAGCTTCTGTTTACTAACAGAAAGAGCCCCAGGTCTGTATATATTTTATTTAGAATAATGTCAGAAACTCAAAAAGAACTAACCACGATTTACCTTTTATCTTCCTTGAATTAATTCTCTTTTTAAATTAATTTTTGAGTGTGAATGTTTTACCTGCATGTGTATCTGTGCACCATGTGTTTGCCCAGGTTAGAAAAAGGGCCATTGGGTGTCCTGGAACTTAAGTTACAGATGATTGTGTGATGTCATGTGGGTGCTGGGAACCAAACCCAGGTCCCCTGGAAGAGCAGCCAGTGCTCTTAACCACTGAGCTATCTCTTCAGCCCCTTCCTTGACTTAATTATGTAAACTAAAGAATACTTTCTAGAATTAAGGTTTTCAAATCTGTGAAAATCTCCAATCCTTTGTTGGTTTTTAACTTCAGAAAAGGACCTAATTTAACTGATAGAATGAAGCTAATTACTTTTTCAGAACAATTAATCAGGTTTATTGATTGTAACACCTAACAAAACTTAGATCTAGTCCCTTTTTTCCAGCATATAATTTATTGATTTATAATCAATACTATCTCTAGGCCAGATGTGGTGGCACTTAGAATATGGAGGCAGGACAGTCATGAGTATGAGGCCAGCACAAACTCTATAAAAAGACCCTGTCCTAAAAAAAACTCATTTCCAGATCTGAGCACAGTGGGTTTGGTGCTTCTCTGCACCCTGGCTGACTGCTGACTCATGCTGTGGCTTTTTCACTGCTGAGTATTCACCGGTGGCACTTAGCTCCCCGTGCTCTGGTCCCCCTTGGGCATCTGCTAGATCAGTCTTTGTGTGTTGGTGCAGTCTCTGAAGATAAGTTTATTGGCTTTGCAGCTTAATTGGTTATTGACTACTCTTTGCCAGTGGAAAGTGATGGCATAAGGCATCTGTAGGGACCCTGTTTAAAGCACTTTTTAAGAAGCTGTGCTTTGGATATACTAACATACCGGAATCATCATTTACATTTTTGTTTTAATCTTACTTTTTTTTTTTGAGGTTTAAAATCTTTCATGTCATCTTTTCCAGCTTTGTTTTTATTTATTAGTTTAGACACCTAGATAAATCTTTTTAAATTCTTGAGCACATAGTTCTACCAAGTGATTATGAGCACACTCTTTAGCTCAAGCTTCCACTTTGAGTCATGACAACATGGCCATGAACTGCTCTCACAACCTCTAGTTGACTGTTTTCTCACCTGTAAGATGGGAGTAATAAAGGTGCCTATTTCTGAGATTATTGTGAGAATTAAAGGTGGATATGTGTAAAATGGTCAGAACAGTGTCTGTAGCTCTATAGCAGCGTTTAGTGGAAAGTTCGTACTGAGAAGCTGTTATGAGAAGTTACGTGGCTCACTATTTCACTTCTCAAAGTTGCCCCGTTGCTGTGGGCCTTTGGTGATTCTGACACATATGGCCATGCTCAGCTGCTCACCTGAGGCAAGTGGGACACAGTGGCACAGAGAACTTGAGCTCATGAGTGGGCTTTGTCCTTCTGATTTTCTTCACCCTGAACCCCAGCTGATTGGAGTGTGCGGTCCACATTCAAGGCAGCTCTTCTCTCAGCTGCTGTTCCTCTCTGAGAATGTCCTCACAGACACACCTAGAAATGTGCTTTAGGAATCTCCTAGGGGTCCCCCAGGCCAATTGGCAGGCAAAACTGTTTATCAGCACAGTGATAGCTGGTATGGCCTCTCCCTAAGAATAAAAGCAGTATGGCCCCAGGTATCCTAGAAAGGACAATTTAAGCCCAGGCCATCTTTGAGCTTGTGGCAAATGTGAGCCACCGTGCCTGGCTTTTGGATGACAGTGGTTTTGGGGTTTGGGGGTTTAGTTTGGTTTTTTGAGGCAGGGTTTCTCTGTATAGCCCTGGCTGGCCTAGAACTCAATTACAGACCAGACTGGCCTTGAACTCAGACATCCACTGGGATTAAAGGCATGTACTACCATGCCCAGCCTTATCTTCATCATTTTTAAGAGTTTAGTGTTTTAATGTTCAATGCTGAGAACACCACTGCACACATGATGCAAAACGACAAGTATATTTAGGGTCATTTCGAAATCAAATCTTCCAATACATTGCAATCCAAAAATATACTGATTTAATACTTAACCCGTTGAAGAAGGATAATAAGAAAATATTAAAAGTCTTTGTTTAAATCATTATGTTTCTATAAGAAAACTTTGTATATACAATATGAACACTAGTTCATAGCATAAAGTAATCTTGAATCTGAGCCACAGCATTTTCAACAATTTCCATTGAAGTATCAAGGTGTGATGAGTGCACAATGCAAAGTGTGTGTGCTGTGTGTTCAGAACAAAGGCTTCAGTGAAGTCATGTGATGTAGTATAGACAGACACTGCCAGAAACCACTCGAATTTATCTTGGGATGATTGTTAGCAGCCTGGAACTTAAGATCCTCCTAAGTGATGAGACTACACCCATTGCCGTTGGAGAGATGCTGAGTAGTTAATGCTCAGCATCTAGAGGATCTGAATTTGGTTCCCAGTACCCATGTCAGGAGGTTCACAACGGCCTGTAACTCTAGTCCCACGAGTACCCAAGGCCTCTTACGTCCACAGGTGTCCACACACACGTGCACATAACAACATACACATATACACATAATGTAAAAATAAATCTTTGGTGGCTCAGGGGTTAACAGCACTAACTGTTTTTGCAGAGGACCCTGGTTCCTTTCTGAGTTCAGACATCTAACAAACACCCAGAATTCCAGTTCCATGGGTCCTGACTTCTTCGGGCCTCATTGGGTCCCTGCATGCACATGGTGTATATAAATAAACTTACACAGGCACACAAACACATAAATAACTAAAAGATTTCAGTCATTTGTCACCATATCTGGCCACTTTTCTCTATTTTCTACAAGAGCTACAGATTACTATTTTAACAAGAAATGAGCTTATAATGCTGCTTTCCCGGTCATATTTTTTTTTTGTTATTTTGAAAGTGATAAATGCTCTAAATAAAGTTGAAAAAAATAAAAGTATAAAGAAAAATACCATTAGCTAAATAATGTTGATTAATAATTGTGGCTTGTGAACCTTGAATTGGCAAGGATCAATTCTATTTTAAAACTTGAAGTGAGCAAAGTGTGTGTGTGTGTGTGTGTGTGTGTGTGTGTGTATGTGTGTGTGTTTATTTTCGTTTTCTGAGCCAGGGTTTCTCTGTGTAGCTTTGGAACCTGTCCTGGCACTAGCTCTGAGGACCAGGCTGGCCTCAAACTCACATAGATCTGCCTGCCTCTGCTTCCCAAGTGCTAGGTGGAATTAAAGGCATGCACCACCACCACCACCTGGCCCACTAATATATATTTAAAATGTTTAGATATACTAAAAGGTTTTGCTGCACCAAATGTAGACCATATCACCTTGTTTCTAGCCTTTGATGAAAGTCATCTTAAATGGGACAACAGAAAACTTAGTAAGTTAACAACAGATAACTTAATAAAACAGTACTTTGGTCTGGCTTATGAGCAGCCTGTCCAGATGGTATTTATTTGCCTTGCTAACAGTTGAAAATGCAGCCAGGTAGTGGTGGGAATGGTGGTGAACACCTTTAATGCCAATACTCAGGAGACAGAGGCAGACAGCCTGATCTACAGAGTGAGTTCCAGGGCTACACAGAGAGATCCTGTCTCGGGGGTGGGGGTGGAGTGGGAGTGGTGTTGAATATGAAAAACAAGTGCTGCTTTGATCTTCCTACTTTCTTCCAAAATTACTGCATTTCACATATATGTTAAAAGTGTTTTGATAACTGATGCTAATCCTGCATGTCCTTTCAAGCAGCTCTGAAGAGCAGAGAAAAGAACCTGATGTGCCTGTGTTCTTCCCAAATGCTTTGCTGGCTGAGAGTGTGAGCATGCGTTTACAAACTGAGCCAACAGAGGGAGCCAGTAACAGCACTGAATCATCAGAGGAACCAAAAGTTGAGCCTTACTGGCCAGCAGATAACCAGAAAATTTACCAGGACTTGTTGGTGAGTAAGTGTAGACCATGTTCTCTTTTGTGAGGTGGTTATTTAATATAGGGAATACTAGTTAAGCTTTCTAGTCATCAAATTCTTAGCCAGAACAAACAATATTTATCTTAAAAAATACAAATGTTACTATTCTGCCAAATTTATTCTATAGTTGGAAGTTTTTGGGTGGGGAAGCAACTTGAATTTGTGAGGAATTTGAAAATAGAATATTTATGATATCATTAACTGATTTCAGTTCAGGTAGGCAGATAATTAATAAACATTTACTTATTTTAAGAAAGGAGACTAGCCAGGCAGTGGTGGCACACACCTTTATTCCCAGCTCTCAGGAGGCAGAGACAGGTGGATCTCTGTGAGTTCAAGGCCAGCCTGGTCTACAAAGCTATACAGAGAAACTCTGTCTCTGAAGCATCCAAAAAAAAAGGAAGAGAGAGGAGGGGGGGGGGGCTGGAGAGATGGCTCAGAGGTTAAGAACACTGACTGACTGCTCTTCCAGAGGTCCTGAGTTCAATTCCCAGCAACCACATGGTGGCTCACAACCATCCGTTATGAGATCTGGTGCCCTCTTCTGGTGTGCAGATATACATGGAAGCAGAGTGTTGTATACATAATAAATAAATACATAAAATCTTTTTAAAAAAGAAAAGAGAAAGAGAAAGAAAAGAGACTAAGCTAAGTAGATAATCTAGCAGTGACTATGGCTGTCTGTGCCTTTGAGAACAGAGGAGAAATTCTAACATGGACACCAGTGACAAACATGACAGGTTGTAGTAAAGCAAAAAACACAGAATGAATAGAATAGTTCTTCTTGGCTAACTTAGAATGTGAGTGGGTTCTTAAGGGTCACTTCTGTCCAACTGGAAGACGTGGCATGTTTTGTTTCCCTATTTGCAGTTGATGATTAATTAAACATGTATGAAAGGAATTCTGTATATTCATCAGCAAACAGTATTTGTTACTTGCCTGCTAGGTCCTAGACTAGTCCTGGCTTGTATGCTCCGGAAGTAAAATATTGCTGAATGTCATGAATTCAGAGTAGCTAAAGTCAATGATGTTTTATAAAATGTGAAAAAGAGCCTAATTACAAAAATAAAGTTTGTTTTATAAGCTGAAGAGACATATTGCCAAGTTGCAAATGCATGATTTAAGTATGTTAGTAATTTTTTTATTTTTGCCTTTTGTTTTGTGGCCAGAGGACAGGGTTTTACTATATACTGCAAGCTGGCCTTGAACTTATGACTACTATCTCAGCCTCCTGTTACTTGTTTAATATTTTTATTTTATTCTTTAAGAATTTCATACAAACTGCCAGGTGATGGTGGCACACACCTTTAATCCCAGCACTCGGGAGGCAGAGGCTGGTGGATCTCTGTGAGTTTGAGACTAGCCTGGTCTACGAGAGCTAGTTCGTGGACAGCCTCCAAAGCCACAGAGAAACCCTGTCTCAAAAAAAAAAAAAAAAAAAAGAATTTCATACAAATCAAGCATGGTGGCACATGCCTTTAATCTTAGCACTTGGGAGGCAGAGTCAGGTGAATAGATCTCTGTGAGTTTAAGGCCATCCTGGTCAATATAATAAGTTCCAGGACAACCAGAGTTATATAGTTATCTTAACAAAACAAATAAATAAAGAACTTCATATAGGTTCATGTTCATCCCTCCCTTCTACATCTGCTGGCTTGTATGCTCCGGAAGTAAAATTTGTAAGTGGCATCTTCTCTTTCCTGTAGGGTCTGATGAAATCATTAGTATGGGCTTCTATTTAAAGTAAGCAGTAAGCCAGCTATGGTGGCTCATTCCTCTAATCCTAGCATTCAGTGGGCAGAAAAGGGGTGTATCTCTGAGCTCAAGGTGGGCCTTGAAATTTTTTCTCCAGAGAGATGGGGAGGAAAAAAGGAAAAGACAAAGAAACCTGTGTAATTGAAGTATACTAGATACTTTATAGAATTTGACAAGATAACATTTAGCCTTCCTTGTGGCATTATCCTAAAACCTAGAAGTTGAGGACTAGAAACGGGACTTGGCAGTTCAGAAAGCTTGCTCTCTAAGAGCACCCAGGTCAGGTGGCTCACAACCACTTAACACTCCACCTTTGAAGGCACCCACATGCACACAGACTTAATAAATAATGAGTAAATCTTTTTTTAAAAAGACCTTAAGATTGTTAGTGACTTTTAAAAATGCATTCTTTTTCTTTCCATAGGGTAAAGTGAACCAACTACTAAATAACTCCTCCCAAGAGATTGATCAACCACCTACCAAAGCAGTAGGTATCAACCATGAGTGCACCAAAACCCCAAATATTCACCATGTAAGGAAAAAAAAGCACAACCCAGGACTGGTAGACAAAGATTGTGTACTCAGTGCAACTATTAAACAGCTGAGGAGCCTGGGAGTGAAAATCGATTCTCCCACTAAAGTGAAGAAAAACGCACAGAAAGTGGATCATGCCAGGTACTTTAAGTTTCATTTTAAAAGATGAAAAAATGGAAGGTATGTTTCAGCACTCCTGAAAGGTGTGTGCCAGCACCTCAGGCCCGCTGATTTGTCATTTACTGAGAGCCTGCTGTGAGTAGAATGCAAATGCCATCTTTACATTTTCCAGTCTTCTAGGGAAATGAGGTGTAACACGAGTAATAAAAACCCAGAGACAGCTTCAAGCTGAAGATCAGAAAAGCAAAGCAGCTAGCCAGTAGCTCTTACCTCTACCAAGGCTGAAACGGAAGTCCTGTCTTCCCTGACTGGAAACTAAATCTCTCCCTGTCCCCAACATGACTGGAGACTGATTGCTTCATGAGACTATTTGGTTCTTCTTTTTATACCTATCAGATCCTGGGATTAAAGGTGTGGGATCCCAAGTGCTGAGATCTCCTTTGTGTGAGCTGTTTCTCTTTTAGACTGGATCAATTTCATGTAGCTCAGTGTGGCCTTGAACTAACAAAGCTCTATCTGCCTGTTTTCTGAATTCTGGTATTAAAGGTGTGTGCTACCACTGACTAGCTCCCTGGCTAGCAACTCTGGCTGCTGAGATTGAAGATGTGTATCACCACTGCCTGACTTCTATAACTAACTAGTTTGGCTGGCCTTGCTTTTCTGATCTTCAGGCAATCTTTATTAAATCATAAATTATATATCCCTACAATGAGGTTACATAGAAAAGTTACCTGAGGATGGTTGCTCTATTGATTTATTCTTTTATTGGAATCTTTCCTAGATAAAGTTGCCAACAAAATACTGGAAAAGAGAAAATGAGTTTTATTGGCAGTGTCTGAAAGTTTCCTTGGAGGTAGTGGAGATGTACCAGTTCCCAGTGTTCAGTGACACACTCTGTTGTTAGAAAGCACAGGCATTTCTTCTGGCTGTGTGCAGCCAACTGTTAGAACTTTCTGCTTAGATTCCTCTTTACCAAAGACAACCTCAGCATATATACACCTGTTAAAAAGAAGATATGTTCCAGGCTTTTTCTTGGGCCACCAACCAGCTCCTAAGTCGTGACAGGGAGACTTATTAGTTATGAATGCTCAGCCTTATCTTATGCTTGTCCCACTCACTCTTATAACTTAAATTAACCTGTTTCTCTTCACTTACGTTTTTTGCCTTGGAGCTTTTTATCTTTCTTTCATTCTGTATCGCTCACTCTGTGTCTGACTGGGCAGCTGCCTGGCTGGCTGGCCCCGGGTGTCTCCCTTTCTTTCTCCCTCATTCTGTCTCGTTCTCTCCTCCTACTTATTCTCTTTACCTACCAGCTCCACCTATCTGTCTACTGCCTAGCTATTTGCCATTCAGCTTTTTATTTGGCCAATCAGGTGCCTTAGATAGGCAAGGTAAAACAGCAACACATACTCACATAGTTGAACAAATACAGCATAAACAAATGTAATATATCTTTTTCTAGTTAAAATAATAGTCTACAACAGGATAAAATCTGGAAATTATTGAGCTAGTAAGTTTTCTGATAATTGCTTTTGTTATTAGAATACTAACAAGATTTAACAGGCAATATAAGATAAAATATAAAAGCTCCCCCCATTCCTTCAAACTCTTCCATCTGTCTCATGGTTAATTTTATCATTTCTTTTGTATTCTTCTAGAAAAGTTATTTGGGTGGGGGCTGGGAACTGAACTGAGTCCTTGGAAGAATAGTAAATGTTCTTGTCCACTGAGCCATCTCCCCAGACCCTTCCTTATGCTTCTGATAGCTGTATAGTATTCTGTTGTACCCATGCACTATAATATTTTGAACCCTCATTCTCTCTCACTGAACTTTTAGGCCAAATCTCTTATGTACTATTTAAGTCAATACTAAGCAAATGTCATTATGCAAGTACTTAGTTCAAATTAAAGTTATATTAGGTGTTTTATCATTGCTTGCCAAATACTTATACTCATTTTAATTCTCATCATTATTACAGGAGAATGAGGCTAACATTTTTGAAGGTTTTCATTTAAAAAACAAACAAATATTCATTTATTTATTTGCTCGTTCTCTCTTCCCCACTTTGTGTGTGTGGGGGGGGCATGGGTGTTGGTGTATACGTGATTGGGGAAAAGCTTGGAGTCAGTTGTCTTCTACTTCCATGTGGTCATTAGGTTCAGTAGCAAGTGCCTTTACCAACAGAGCCATCTCAAAGGCCCTGACAGTTTTATTTCTGAACTGAAAGATAGAGACCCTGTGACATCTGTGATCATGTGGTGGTTTCTCCAGTTCCAGGAGACCCAGTGCTCTCTTCCGGCCTTTGGGTACCAGGCACATATGTGATGCACATATATACACAAAGGCAAAACATTCATACACATAAAATTAAAATAAATCTTTAAGAAAAGATTGAGAAAGAAGTACATAACTACATATACCTATTGGAATTCACAAGTTCCCCATGCTTTCTATGTAGAACCGTGTTTATTTGAGCATCTCATTATATAGTCCAGGTTCAATATTCTCTTGCCTCAGCCTCTTCCTGATTACAGGCATGATTAAGACTCCCATTGGGAAGTAACTATTAGATAATGCAACAATGTATTTTCTCTCTCTTTTTTTCCTTTCCTTCCTCCCTCCCTCCCTCCCTTCTTTCTTCTCTTTCTTGCTTCCTGTTTTGTTATGCCTTTTGACAGGTTCTTGTGTAGCCCAAGCCAAGCCCAGTTGGTCTTGAACTGATTACCCTCCCTCAGCCTCCTGAGGTCTGGGATAGCAGGTCTGCTGCACCACACCTAGCTTGGTAATGTGTTTCTTCACGATGGCCAGCCTACAAGTATGCTGTCGTTGTAAAACATTGAAACTAGCAAGTCAATCATTTAGTCTGTGTATACCAGTTACCTCCCGGTTATAATGTATACTCTGAATGTGTGTCTGTCCATGAGGACTTAAGTCTGAGTAGTCAGTTAAGAAGCCCCAGTAAGCTTAAAGCTGAAAGCTTTGTTACTTTTGAAGAATGAAACTTACTACTTAAAATAAGGTTAAAAGCTACCTTGCTTTTTGTTTCTTGCAGTGTTTTGGCATGCATCAGCCCAGAAGCAGTGATCTCTGGATTAAACTACATGTCATTCGCTAATGTTGGCATGAGCGGCTTAAGTCCCACTGGTGTGGATTTGAGCATGGAGGCAAATGCTATAGCTCTGAAATACTTGAATGAAAATCAGCTGTCACAACTGTCTCGCGCTCGATCAAACCAAAATAACTGTGACTCATCTTTTGGCCTTCTCCATATTAATTCAGACAGAAGCACGGTGGGGCTTAGCTTAGTTTCACCAAGCAACATGTCATTTGCAACCAAAAAATACATGAAGAGATACGGGCTCTTAGAAAGCAATGACAATAGTGAGGATGAAGAGTCTCCTGGCCATGCAGATAGTGAGATTGACTGGGAGTTGACTAGAAACCCTGCATGCAGACCTGTGCAATTTGATCATCAGAAAGCGCCTTCTCACAATGCCTATGAAACATCTCAGTGTTCTGACTGTGGCTCTGAGGACATGCACACAGATATGCCAGTGTTGAGAAACATCACAAATGAAGCTGTCCAGCCAAGAGCTGCAAAGCAGTTGAATGAAGACCCTGCTTTTTCATTAAGGAATCTTAAACCAGATGCTGCAGTGAGCCTCCGAACTGGAAAAGCAGAGTTCACTCAACATCCTGAGAAGGAAAATGAAAGTGACACTGCAATTTTTCCTGGACCCCTGCAGCCTCCTGAGACTTTAAAGCAAATGAGTAGCATGCATTCTGTGGGTACCTTCTTAGATGTGAATCGTCTCAGACAGTTACCGAAGTTATTTTAACTCTTTACTCCTGCTTTGTGATGTGAGGACTAGGTGGGTACTGATGGCACTTAAGGAAGCCAGACCTTTGGGATCACTTTTTGTTTGTTTGGTTTTCAAAACAGGGTTTCTCTGTATAGCCCTGGCTGTCCTGGAACTCACTCTGTAGACCAGGCTGGCCTCTAACTCACAGAGTTCTGTCTGCTTCTGTTTCCCCAGTGTAAGGTAGGATTAAAGGCATGCACCACCATTGCCTGGCCGTGACCTTTGGAATTTCTAATAACTGTAAGAGTCTGTTTCCTATTAGCAGCTAATTCCAGTAGCATTGGTCAGCAGGTGACCCAGTTAGGAAATGGCTGGTTAGTGGGAAGCTGGGTTCGTTCTGCATCTCTGAGCCTAAAACAGAAGTAAAATAACCCTAAAATGAGGATTGCAGCAAATCAAGTTCAAGTGTACTCTCTGTACCCCAGGACCTCTAATGTACTAATGAGATCCATTACTGAGCCCCACCTACATTCTCAACTAGGTTTTTTGAGACACGGTCTCAGTATGTAGCCAGGCTGGCTTCAGATTTCTCCTCCTGTCTTCTGAGTCTGTCTCAGGTATGCACTTCACCCAGTGTCTCCCAAAGACAATTTCTTACGTGATCATAGTAAGTTATAAAACCAAGAAATTACATTAGACACAATACTGAGTAAACCACAGAACTTTTCATTGCCTTTGGTTGTTATTTGGTGGGAAGAGGCAGTGCTGAGGGTTGAACCCAGGACCTCACACCAAGGGTTCTAGCACTGAACTTTATACTTCAGTCCATGAGGTGTGCCATTGATTTGTATTTTGTGCGTATAGATGCATGAAATTATATCACATAGCTTCCACTAACCTAAAACACATCCTCCAGTCCCTGATCTTCTTATCATCACTGGAATGTTTTGTAATCATTTAAAAAATGTTTCATAAACAGAACTGTACTTTTTAAATGTCTTTTTTTTAAATTTAGCATTATACCTTTTGAAATTTACTGCCTTTCTCCAAATAATGTCCTGAGATCTATCTAAGTGTTGAGTGTGTCAGTAATTCTTTACTTCCTCCTCTCCCAAGTTGTTACTTCTAAATATAAAAGAAAAATATCCTCATTCACTTTAAAGATGAAGGTTTCTGCTGAAGTTAAAATGTTGTCACTGGGCAGTGGTCAAGCACACCCTTAATCCCAGCACTCTGGAGGGAGAGGCTGGTGGATCTCCGTGAGTTTAAGACCAGCGTGGTCTATAGAGCCAGTAACAGGACAGCCACAGTTATACAGAGAAACCCTGTCTCAGGGGAAAAAAAAAAAAAAGTGTGGTTGTCTTGTATTAAAATTTGGCTTGTAAAGTGAAAGAAACGTACATTTGTTCTCTGAATGTTTTTTTAATCCAGCTGTGGCTTCCTAAGACAGTACTAATAGAGAACTGTTGCTGGCTAACAGGGCCAAGGAGCCAGGGACCAGTTGGCACCTTGTTCCCTCCCTACATTGCTGCAATTTCAAGTCACAATTAGACATAAGTGACAACGATGTTTCCCTCTGTTTCTACTTGCAGTTTCTAGTAAGTAATAGAATTGTCAATGCTCTTTTTAAACTGAGCCCTCTGAGTTTCACCCCAAAGTGAATGTGGGTGCCATTTGTATTGCACTTTGAAAACAGTATATTAAGCCAGATGTGGTGGCCCATGTCTTTAATCCCAGATTTGGGAGGCAAAGGCAAGCAGATCTCTCTATATGTTCTATGCCAGCCTTATCTATAGAGCAAGCCCCAGGACAGCCAGAGCTACAAAGAGAGACCTTGTCTCAAGAAAAAAGAACAGAAAATATTAAGTGGATTAACCAACAGCCTCAACAACTCTTACTGTGAATCTCATTTTTTATGGGAACTATACAAGCAGACTGAGGAAGAATTTATAATTTCATCACCTGATCGAATGTTTCTGTTAAGATGTTGAAGAAGTTTTCAAAACCGAGTTTAGACCACAGGTTAATTCCACAAAACATCTCTTTCTACTTAGTGCTTGCTAAGAAGGACCATCAATAAAGTCTACACTAGAAAGTTCTAGAAGTGCTTTACTGTGGGAAGTTAGTTGTCCTTGGGTATCTTTGGCAGAAGCATTAGTACAGGGGAAACTGAAGTAAAGACTGGAAATGTTTGCCTGTCGAGTGGCATTTCTCAGAATTTCTATCTCCAAATCTCATGTCATGTTGGAATTTTAAAAATATGGTAGAATTTAGATTATCCAGCTTCTGGAAATGAACTCTGAGTTCTGGCCCATTGTCCCTCCTCAAATGTCCCCCCCTCAACTTCTTTTTTTTTTTTTTAATTTATTTTTGTTTTATGTATGTTGGTGTTGGGTCCCCTGGAACTGGAATTACAGACAGTCATGAGCTGCCATGTGGGTGCTGGGAATTGAACCCAGGTCCTCTGGAAGAGCAGTCAGTGCTCTTAACCGCTGAGCCATCTCTCCAGCCCCCTCCCTCAACTTCTTAAGAGCCCTGCTTGTTGATTATAAACTGTTCTTTTCACTTGTCTTCATCACCCTATCCAGTGCTCAGCCCATGGAAGAAGGTGTGGACATGTTAAATATGTCTCATAAAAGCTACAAAGACTGTTTTTGTTTTTTCAAGACAGGGTTTCTCTGTGTAGCCCTGGCTGTCCTGGAACTTGCTTTGTAGACCAAGTGGCTGGCCTCAAAGTCGAGAGGTCTGCCTCCCTATGCTTTCCAAGGTCTGAGATTAAAGGAGTGCACCACCACCACCCAGAAAAGCTGCAAAGATTCTATAGAAAAGTGGTGGTGGCGGCACTTGCCTTTAACCCCAGCACTCAGGAGGCAGAAACAGGTTGATCTCTGAGTTTCAAGGCCAGCCTGGTCTACAGAGCGAGTTCCAGGACAGCCTCTAAAGCTACAGAGAAACCCTGTTTCAAAAAAATAAAAAAGACAAAAGTTATAACAGAGTATATGATGAAAAGCCACTGTGACAGTGTCTATCTCTGTGTAACAGCCCTGGCTGCCCTGGAACTCACATTGTAGACTAGGCTGGCCATGAATTCACAGAGATCCACCTGCTGAGTGCTAGGATTAAAGATGTGTGCCACCAAGGCACTGCATGCTGATAGTGTCTCTCTTTTTTAGGACTTGCTATGTGCTCATGGCACTGCACCAAGCACTTAGCACACACTAGTTCTTTGAAGCTTCCTGGCTTCAAGAATGAGATAATCCCATTTACCAATGTAAATTACTGTCAGAGATGTGGGTGTTCTGAAACCATGGAGAAAGAAAGCATCCCTGAGGCCAGAGAAAGAGCTACTACTAAAGGGATCTGGAGTTGGATTCAGATACTACTGTCATAACCCTGCACTGTCCAAACTATCCCACCCTGCTTTCCTTTCAGGAGGATTTCTTACCCTTTAGCCAAGACCAGTAACCACCATTTACTGAGTGCCCTGAAGGAGGCACCCCCGGTTTTGGTCAAGGGTTCCACTAATGACTACACAGTGTTGAGCTAGCACTGAGCCTGTTGCAGGGGTCCCAGATTAGCAGAGTCTGTGCACTATCCCTGCTTTCCAGGTGTTGCACACAAAGGCAGGAACTTTACTAGTCTCCCAGATTGAGGGACCTTTATATTTTACTAGTCTCCCAGATTGAGGGACCTTTATATCTACGCAGTCAGTCTCAGGACACTACCTGGAACTTAGCCTTCCTGCTTTCAAAGTGTTTTCCCAGGTATTTCCCCCAAACCTGTACAGCAGGCACGTTTAACGATTCCTTACAGACCAACTAAAACTGAGCCAGAGTCAGCAGCCTCATATCCATCCACAGCCTCTAGCCCAGTAGCAACTGACCCCTCCCCTTCCTCTACAGCAGCCAGCACCTTTCCCCTCACCCCAGTGCTCAATGGTATGTGGATCCTGCTAGGAACTGACCAAATGTTGAACGTAAAGATGGACAAGGCAGCCATGCTTTGTCAGAGGTCAGTCGGATGGACTGATGCAGAATGAGGTAAGCACTTACAGTAAAACTAGGAAGATGTTGGCACAGTAGAGAAACGGAGGCTATTTTCAGAGTATTCTGGGAAAGTGACATTTTTCCAGAATCTTTGGGTACCCATGAGAAAGAAGGGTGGAAAGATGAACAGACATTGCTTAGGAGGGGATTAGATGAGGAGCCAACAGCAGGGAGTCAGTAGCCACTGGCTTCTTGTCATCCCTGTACCCCAAACAACACCAGGTAGGCAACTTAGAGGTTTTAGTTCCCCGATTTTGGAGATGACAGGGTAAGCCTGTGTTACATACTGTGCATGAAACACTGGCACAGAAATAATACGTGAGCCAGGAACCTGGGAGGCAGAGGCAGGGGGATGTCTGAATTTGAGACCAGCCTGGTCCACATAGAGAGTTCCTGAACAGCCAGAATTCTGTCTCAAAAAAACAGTGACAGACAGACCCTGTCTCAGAAAACAAAACAAAAAACACATGTCAGAGCTGTGAAGGTCCAGAGAGAGGAAAAGACTATGTGAGAGTGCTGGTGGTGTCAAGCCTAACCTTAAAAGATCCTGGAGGATTTTCCCAAGTGTAGATAAGGAAAGAGTTCCCTATTAAAAGGAATGTTTAATACAATTTGCAATAAAGTTATTTCCCAACAAAGAAATTGCAGAGGAATGCTGGCTGACAGAAGGCCATTATTTTGTTTCCACATCTGACTTACACATTTCCCTCTTTCTAAGTGAAAGTCCCACTAAAAGGTGCCTGGGAGTGTGGAGGCCTGGGTGATGCCCCCCTGTACCCCCATCTCCCCTAACCGGAGCCGTCTGGGTCAGGGGGGAACATCCTCAGAGGAAATCCTGCTTTCCCATTTCCTGGCCAGAGGCTGAACTCCAGGAAAAGGATGGATTTGGGGAGAGCTGTGTCCTGCCTCTTCATGGGAGGTCTGGGGCCAGGACAAGGGTGCTTATCAAAAACAACGGGAGGGATGACATCAGGCATTCATGGGAATCATGGTTGTGGGGTCCTAAAAAGTCACCCGGTCTCTGTTGTATACCTGAGGACACAGCCAGAGGAGAGCCCGGACTTGTTCTGGATCACAGTGCAAAGTGCACCGATTGAGACAGGAATTCAGAACAGCAGCCTCCACAGCGTGCCCTCATCTGTCTCAGGGGCTGAGCAAGTTAGCAATCAGTCAAACCCAGGCCCTCAAATGAAGCCTGACTTTCCAGAAAGGGCATAAAGGCCGTGTACACTTGGCTTCCAAACCACATTTTTGGAGAACCTTTCAAAACCCAGCTTAAATGCTCCCCTCCCATCCTCCTGCCCCACGTGAGAGTGCTGTTTCATTAATTTTGTACACTTATTATTTTGTGCCAGATAACCTCTGGAAGACTTATAGATTGCTGAAACGCCATAGCAATTTCTCTGATCTTGTCCTCTTAAACCATCTTGCATGTGTACTCATGGCTGTGAGCACATGTAAAAACATCTTCCTCCTTCCTCAGGGCAGGGGGCTGAGGTAGGTGTGAACTTAGGTTCCCTAAAGCTCATGCCCTACTTTGATAAAGTGGCATCAGGTCTTAGCTGAGGTTGGGAGTGGGCCACAGTTGAGTTACTCCTTATGGGTGACTTCAGATTTCCCACTGGTGCTTCCACCAGCACAAGACTGAATGACTCCAAGGAAACATGCATTTCCCCGCTGCACCAGGTGGGGGCACCACTCAGGGTTAGTGTGGCCACAATCCAAGATCTGTTTCTCTGTCTTTCCAGTCCAGACAGTGTGCCCTTTCAGACATCTCCGTGGCTGGTTTTAGAGCCAAGACAACTAGACAGTTCCACTTCCTCCAAGTGAAGCCCGGGTTCCTGCTGGCTGTTTATCCTCTCTATTTCTCTCTGAGGCTCCATCCTCCATTGATTTCTTCAATATATAGTCTGTGGTATTGTGGTATGCTGCATAAAAAAAGCCATGGGCATGGTCCTATATTTCTTTTCTTTTCTTTTTTTTTTTTTGTTTGTTTTTCTTGAAAGAGTTTATGTGTGTAGCTTTGGACCCTGTCTTGGACCTTGTTTTGTAGACCAGGCTGTCATTAAACTCACAGAGATCCACCTGCCTCTGCTTCCTGAGTGCTGGGATTAAAGGCGTGCAGCCTTACTGAGTTTCTTACCATCCTCTGATGTGCCTTCCGATTCCTACTGCTGTGTCTTTCCTAATCTGTCCCTATTACAGTCCAAAGCAAAGAGTCCCAGTGTAAATCCCTGTCTGACACACAGCCTCTCCTGGATTCTCAGTGTTTTTTAACACCCCTCTCTAGCAGAACACGTTAGGCGGCATGGTAATTCTTTGCTTCTGTTTCCTCCATGGAAGTGTGTCTACACCTAAATACAGTTTATAAACAAAGTAAGGCTCATTAAAAAGGCACCAATCTGTTATTTAAATGCCCTAGACATGGTGCTTTTTTCACAACTACCAATCAGTCTTTTCAGCAACCCTGTGAATAGAGGCACAGAGTAGTTGAGCAGAGTCTCTAGCTCAACTCAGGGTGCCCTGGTGATCAGTTGTCACCCTTAACTATGCTAGGGGTCCTGGGGTATGGGTTCAGGGCCAGGTACTATGTACTGTGCTATGTAGAGGAGACAGATGTTTTCTGCCACAGCTTCTGGTGATCCAAAACTGCCTGGCAAAGTCCAGTCTGCCAGACAGACACCTATGGGCCTCCTTAAAGATACTTTAAAAAACCCTACCATTCCTCCTCCACACCTTTCATTTCCTCTTCTTCCCCTCCCCATCCAGCTGATGACTCTCAGCCTGTGAGGAATGTGAAGAGAGGATATGGATGTTTGCTTTCACAGGTGCCTCTGCAGAACAGGAGTTCTCACTGAGAGCCCAAGCAGAGCTACAGAGGAAGTAAGCAGAGATGACAGATTAAGACAGATGCAGAGACAAGGGCTTTATACAGGAAAGAGGAGCAGATTCAGAGTTTGCCTCAGCCTAAGATAGAGACTGGAGAAATGAAAAGTAGAGTGAACAAGATAAGAGATGAAAGGAACAAACCCTGGGGTTCCTCCCCCCTGCA